CATATCCATAAAGCTCTGAATTTGCCCCTGCCCAACCCTAGCCTTGCCCTGCTAAGCTGCAGCAATGCCGGGTATTGAAGAGCAGCTCTACAGATCTGCCCCACCTCACTTGCTGCTACTGCTACATCTCGGCCAAAACTTCCCCAGCCTTGCTTTGTATAGTCTAGGGGTCAGCAAACCTTTTCAGCAGTGGGCCAGTCCACTCTCCCTCAGAACTTGTGGGGGGCTGGACTATATTTTTTTGGGGGGGAAATAATGAACGAATTTCTATGCCCCACAAATAACCCAGAAATGCATTTTAAATAAAAGGACACATTCTACTCATGTAAAAATGCTGATTCCAGGACCGTGGGCCGGATTAAGAAGGCGATTGGGCCACATCCTACCCCCGGGCCTTAGTTTGCCTCCCCATGGTCTAGAAGCATAATGTAAATCCTTTCATCATGCAACCCACATGCCTTTTGCACTACAGATTCATGTCTCCTTCAAAACAGGAGGCAGATTTCTCTATGTACACATGCAAGGCTACCAGCTACTCTGTGAAAACTTCCAAGAGTAAGAGAGGATAGCTAAGAAATGCTGGCTCAGGCCAGACGTGGCTGTTTCTTGGGATCTCGTTGAAGAATCGGTGGCTTTTAAAAATGTATCCCTAGTATTCAGGTCTTCAGACAGAAAAAAGGCTGACAGTTGTACAAAAGTACTGTTTTGTTTAGGAACTTATTCTGCACTCCAAAATGGGGAGCACATCAAAGAATACATTGAAAAGGCGGGGAACATGACACACGGGACACCCCTGCACCGAAAATGAAAACCTGGCCTTGCAGAGCACATAGCCTGAGCTTTTCCTTCATTTGCCCCTGCTTCTAGCTGCGTGGATGGGAAGGAAAGGAGTGAAGTCTGAAGCATCCCATTCATGTGTACTGCAGGGTACTCTCTGCTCATAGCTGCTCTGCTTGTAAAACACTGTCGGATTGTGCAGGCAAGGGTTATTACAAGGCATCTAATCTCCCCTCCCAGTGGGGGAAGCCCAGGGGACAGATTTATAGCTAGGCGAGAGGGTAAGATACCTGCTTGGATATTTATAACTGCCCTTTTTTGTTTTATAGTCGAGTCTTAGCAAACAGCCATCCTCACCCACCCCCCTTCACCCATCCTTCATTTCCGCTGAAATATTTCATCATTTCACAGGGAATAAAGTTTCCAGCAAGGCAAATGCAAACCCACTCCCTTGACCGAGCACTTTGAAATTGAATGCGGTGTGTCTGAAAGGCTGCTCCAAACAGGTCGCCTAATACAGGTCCCCTTCAGATCACGCCGTGGCAGGAAGTGCAGTGAACTTGCTTGAATGACAGTTTCATTAGGCCATGGCTGGTGTTTTTCATTCCCCCCCTACCCCATTTTTTTTTAATGCTGCTTTTAAAAATGTAGATAATGAATAACATTCCTCTTGTAGAGTTGGGTCAGTCCTAATGAAGGTTGCCTTGTCCCTGGGATCAAAGGCTGGGGGAAGAGAGGGCAATAACTTTTCAGTATCAGTTATTTATCCTCTATAAAAATGATTAGTGAATAAAGAGCTGCACAATGGTTTTGTGGAAGACTAGCCTCTAACACATGGCAGCAGAATGAAAAGAATGAACTTGTATGTGTATTTAAATGCATTGGTGCTGATAGCAGTGTATATTGCGCAGCATTCTGAGGATTTAAAATATTTCATTCTTTAAAAAAGTAAGACAAGTTTCTAGCCCTTATGGCTGCAGAGGTAAGCATGACTAGTAAAATCTCAAAAAGTAAGCAGAAGTTTGAATAAGCGAGAGACTTTTACTTAGTGGTAGATTATATTCTTTGCATACAGAAGCTCTCAAGTTCAATACCTGGTATCTCCAACTAAAAAGATCATGTAGCGTTTGATGGAGAAAAACTCTTCCTCAGACTCTTGAGAGCCACTTACATGTAACAGTAGACATTATTGTGCTTGATGCAACAAATGATCTGATTCAATATGTCAGCTTCTTGTAAATATATGCAGTTTTGCTTTATTGGCATAATTTATTGGGCACAGAATATTCCAATATGTACATATGTAATAGGTGTATGTGTTGCTATGTTGATTGTAGACAAAATTTACACCGTCCCCCAAAATTAGTGGAGATCATGGTGATTTCAGAAAGCGGTAGATCTCACAGTCTTGTGCATTGATTTTACTACTGTTTAATCACATGCTTGGTAAGCTTGGTATTCAAATATTATTTTTTTAATATGTTGGTATGAAAGTACTGGCAAGAATGCAAGTGGAAGGTGCAGGAGCAAAATAATTTTTTTTAAAAAAAATTATTTGCTATACATCCATAAAACTGAAAAACGATTGCATTCTTGGGGAGTAGCTATGAAGAAAACAACACCTTCTCTCTGCTGTAGAGGAAAAGAGAACATCTCCTTCCGCCGCCCCCACCCCCATGTAGGCACACATTCACCCAAATGCTTTGCATGAAGGGGAAGGCTGATCCTTCACAATCTGCTTGATGAGGCCTGTTCACAAAAGCTCTGCTTGTCAAGCACAAGATACGGAGATATTATTTGTAGCAAGATATGCTGAAAAGTGTGGGCTCCACTTGATCAGGAGCAATGGGGAATGAACGATTCCTGCCCATTTATTCTTTCTCATTTTCAGGGTGCATCTGTCTTTTCTCCACACTCTTGACTCTGGGATTTGGTACTCATTAGGTCTAACAAGCCAGCATTCAGACGCTATGACTCTCTCTTGCTCCCTTTGGGATAACTTATTCCACATGCTTGGTGTACGCTGCCCGGTCGCATGCTCTCTTGTGCTGCCAGCTTGTTGCGCTTTGGGTTAGGTTTGTCCAATTAGCTGTTTCTTTGTGTTGTTTGTAAGTGCAAGGCGTTAATATGGGTCAGCCTTGTGATGTCCCAGGAATAGCAGATGGTTTCATAAAGTCGTCCTCCCAGTGCTGCGGCAAACTTCACATATTCATGTCCTTTTAAAGGAGGAACTGGAGGTTTGCACAAGTTCATTTCTTAGGAGGGTTCAGTGAATCCAAAATAGGCCATAGCTCCAGGCTGGGATAAGTTGATCCTTATCTCTTAGTATTCCCTATTCCTTTAGCCCAAAAGGCCTTGTGCAGCTCAGTACAGTGGTACCTTGGGTTACATATGCTTCAGGTTACATACACGTCAGGTTACAGACTCCACTAACCCAGCAATAGTACCTCGGGTTAAGAACTTTGCTTCAGGATGAGAACAGAAATCACGCGGCAGCGGCAGGAGGCCCCATTAGCTAAAGTGGTGCTTCAGGTTAAGAACAGTTTCAGGTTCAGAACGGACCTCCAGAACAAATTAAGTACTTAACCCGAGGTACCACTGTATCTGTTCCAAATAATCCTTAATGACATATGTTCATCTCAGGCGACTTCAATATGCTTTGAACCTTTGCTTCTTCCACTGAGCATACTGCTGGTCTTCAGTTTCAATTGGTTTCTTTCAGAAACAGGATTTTGGTTTGCCACTCTTTTTGAGGCCATTTGGTTGCTATTCCAACATGAAAGTGTGGCTGAATTACATAGCATCTTTTTTTCTTTTTTTTAAAGCCACTCTTGGCCCCAGATCAGCAAACCACTTTTGATATGGTGACGCTTAAAAAAGCATTGCACAATTCAGCACTGGCAAATAATGCATGGAAAACCTTGAGGAAGCCTTTGCATGTGTATAGTTCATTATGCACTGTAGATCATGGCCTAGTTGTCCACAATTGTTCCCAGGCATCAGCCCAGGTATCTAAAACATATTTTAGAGAAGACGCATGTTCAGTAAAGCACTGGAAGCAAACTTGAGAGAACTCAACTTCCCTAGGAAATAGAAAAGTGTGGTACCTTTTATGCATCTCTAGCCATGAGTTACGCACAGCCAATTCTTCAGATGCTGTTATCTGAAGAGTCCCATATCAAACTCTGGTTAAGATGACTTGGGGAAAGGCATTTATAGCCAAAATATGAGAGGTTGCTTAGAGCAGGACTATTTTGAATTTATATCCCTTAATGTGAAATAAGTTGTAATCCTTTGCACACTTACTTGGGAGTAAGAATAATTTGGCAGCATCCAGCTTATGCATCCTGACAGTGCAAGGATTTCTGCTTTTCCAGTAGGACTCCCCCAGCTGCCATATGCCCTCCTAAAATCTGCTTGGGGGACATAACAGATTTAGGGGGCATGTAGGGGATAATTGCAGTACCCCTCAGGCATATGGAACCCTAAATCCACCTCTGCTTAGTGCTACTTTGGATACAACTAATTGAATGCAGTGGGACCTACTGTTGAAGGATCATCATAGGATAAAACTGTTGTCATTCATTTATCTTCTGCTGGAGTAGCTCATCTGATTAACTAGCATCAGCAGAGACCTACACCTAAGTTTGCAGATAAAAACCTGACAGATAAGCAGATCTTGGGTTCCAGACTACCTCTTAAAACAGAAGCTGATGGGTGGCTTGTTCTGTATTAGCTGAGGTTCTGTCTTTGCTGTTTTGAACAGTCAGGTTTTCTTTACATGCATGCTGCCTTACTGCCCAAATGTAGTTCTCCTCCTCTGTGATAAACAAGAGCTCTTTCAAAGCTGCTTCTACATCTGGCTTGAGAAACTAGTTTAATATAGTAATAGAGTTCCGTTTTCTCTCTCTCTTTTGTCTGTCTTTTTATTCTCAGCCTATGCTCTGGAAAAACCCACTAGTTAGTATTCTAGCACAGCCTGATATATGGTAGTAGACAAGCGGGGGTGTATGATGATTGGTGAACAGGAAGGAAACCATTATGAAATTGATCCATTGGCCAAGTGATTGGGTAGTTTCTTTCAGCCAGATTTGTGGGGGGAAAGGGGAAGGGAATCACTGAAATTTTGTAACTCATCTGTGCTTTGGGAATATTTACATTTTTTAAAGCCAAGCTCCTTGCTAGATACTGTTTCTAAACCACTTTTTTATAATATTAAACAGGGGAGAGGCACCTCCAGCAGCACGTTACCCCCCAGACGTTTTCTAATGGTAAATATTTTTGTTCTCTATCTCTATGAGGAGTTTTTAACTATAGCTGCATTTTGTATTTTTGAATATAATAACTGGGCACAGGGGCCTGAGCTGTTGTACTAACTGCATGCCTCACTTTGCACCCTAGAGAGTAGGGCAGAAGGGCCACTCAAAGGGGCACTGGTGCTTACTAACTATCTAACCTGCCCCATCTCTGCTATTTCTAAATCTCTTTTTAGCCTTTGTAATCTGCATGGTCCCCAGCTATCAGGGAAGAGTGTGCAGGCCTGGAGCTACACAGATAGTGGAGAAAAAGACATGCATGGCAACAGAATTATCCCACAAATAACAGAACTTTTATGCAATGTGGGGCTTCAGATGGCTGCTTGCTTTGCTTGGGCTAATGGACTGTTCTTTTGCTAGAAAATATAGCCATTTGCTTTTAGGGGTAAGGGGCAGTGTGTGTTCTGTTATTTGCTTCTGTATTGTGTAATCGCTAAAGCAGTTTCCAGAAGCTTGTCTGTCTCTGTTAGGTACTTAGCTGACTTTCATCGCTTACGTATGCAAAATCTACAGCAGTCTTTAATGTGCCATTAATGTGTTCAAGGATAGCATAATTACATCAATGGAAACACAAAGGCAACAAGGATTCAATGACTTGCCCCAAAACGGTGTTAAGATTCTATGGCAGAGTCAGATGTGGAGCCTGCATTTGGGAAACTTGTTTTTGAGTTACCTTTCTTATTGCCGCCATATATTACAGCAAGTATTGTCTTCTGTTCTACTACCTAATGAAAGATTTGTAACTTAAAATAGCATGCTAACAGACCTGGATAAAGATGGGGGATTGTACTTTGATTACGGTAGCAACTATGAGCATTGCATCATTATTAAACCTAAGGACACAACAGGAAACTTTGAAAAACCATGCCTACATTCTGTGGATGTCACCAGCTAGTCCCTACTTGCCACTTTTGACTTGATAATGCTGGGTTAGCTCTGATTCACATTGTTTTATGCAGCTCTGAAGTATAGACCGAAGCATAAGGCTGAGCTGAGTGCATCATTACTCACTTCTTCCATGAGGATTCACATGAGATGAAAGGCTATGTGACTGTGAGAAGGATGGGGATCTGCCCTTTTCTAAGCTGCCTTATTTTGTAATGGTAGAGTTGAGGTAGGAGATAAGCACTGATGAAGCAGAATGGATGAAGGGAAAAAGGAAGGTCATTTTGTCTCTTACCAATGATCAAGACAATATCTGCAGAGACTTAAGGTTACCACCACACACACAATAAGGCAAAACTCTTTCAAATGGGTTAGTGCCATAATTGGTGGTAGACAACCACTATTTTTACAAACTTAATATGCTACATAGTCTTCCAAGGACTCTTCCAGAAGATCATTTTTTGATACTATTTCATCACTCCTTGATGCTAGATGATTTGCACCAGATATGTGTAGTCTGTGTCTCAAACTGGAGTAATTCTCAGTTGTTTTGCTTGTCCCATGCTTGAAATGAAGGATTCCTATTACTAAGTGATAATAATTTTTGTAGGGTCCTGGCATCATCTTCACATTTTTCACAGCACTAGTAATAAGCTTTCTTTCTTTTCCTGTCTGTCTGTCTGTCTTTTTCTTTTGCATCATAAGAATGCTAAAACTTGATTACTCCCCAACCATCCCCCAGTATTGTACTTGGACCACCCACTGTCTATTTAAATCAAACCAAAGACTGCATTTCCTCCATGGGGAATATGCTTTTGTTTGTTTGTCATAATGGTATCAATATAGCAGCCCACCGACATGCTGAATATGCTTGTGGGGAATATGCTTTGAATGTAATAATGCTTCTGAACAATTTGGTGGGTGATGCTAGGGAGGCTACTTACAATTTTGAGGGGGGAAATAGCTGATGAGGAAAGGGTGAAATTTTCCCCTTTTTCTTCCTCCTTCCTCCCACCTTGCTGCTCAGCTGAACAGAATTGCTTCCCATTGTTTGGGGCTTCATTACACACATCAATTACCCATCAAACATTTTTGCACCATAACTAAAGTCAACATTACCCCACACCTGTACTCTGGACTGGAGATTGCAGACCAAGGTGTCGGCTTTGTGGTACTTCAGAGTAAGGCTGGCCCTGGCTGTTGTACACTCATCTTTGGCAAATGTTTCCTTGTCTTGGCAGCTCACATGTTTTGCTCAACAGTTCTGCTCTGACTATAGAAACATTTGTTTTCAGCTTGGAGATGTCTGGTTGACTCATGTTAAACAACTCCCATGTTCCATCCTGGAAGGCATTACTTCTTAGTGAAAGAGCCAGTGTGGTGTAGTGGTTAAGAGCGGTAGACTCGTAATCTGGTGAACCGGGTTCGCGTCTCCGCTCCTCCACATGCAGCTGCTGGGTGACCTTGGGCTAGTCACACTTCTTTGAAGTCTCTCAGCCCCACTCATCTCACAGAGTGTTTGTTGTGGGGAAGGAAGGGAAAGGAGAATATTAGCCGCTTTGAGACTCCTTCGGGTAGTGATAAAGCGGGATATCAAATCCAAACTCTTCTTCAAACTCTTCTTTCTGTATACTGATGGCAGTCAGCATTCTTCACCTGATCTTAACATTGGCAAAAGGTCTACAGCCTTAGCTCTCTGGAGATCCTTTGTCATTCAGTTCCTGTGCAAGAGAAATACTAAACACTGGAAAGGGATGCTGCCCCTGAAGATCCTGATTAAAATTAGAATTGATTCTCACTGCAGGAAGAAGTTACATGATGCTCCTCCATAACACAAAAAAACCAAAGACAATTCAAGGTTTCAGGGAGAAGGATTACAACCTAGACTTTTCCTTGACACACTAGATATGTAGAAGTATTTTCTATGTTTTCCCCTCTGTGGGGCAGCATTTTACTATGTGAGCTCCCACCTACAGCCTCTTAAGTGGTGCATCCAAGACATAGGTCTTCTACTTCATTAAGAACTATAATTACTGATTTGGCAGGATCTCACAAAACAGAGACAAGAGATGTCTGGGATGCTGACTTAACACATATGGAACTTTTCTGTTTGTTAGCCAGTTGTGCTATAGCCTGGTGTATCTGCTGTGTAGGGCTCCAGAAGCAAGGTAGTCTTGCTTTTCCCACATGCATGCTCTTTGTGGTTTTGTGGATCATGTTGATTCTCTGGAGAGCCATGTTCCCCATAGTCACTCAAGATGAATAGAAAATATCACAGATTCTGCTGTCTCTTAATTTTGGAAGAGAAAGTACAGTAAATTGGTGTCCTCCACTATGGTGCCTTCCAGATGTTATTGGACTGCACCTCCCAACATCTCTTGACAATTGGCTGTGATGGTTGGGGCTGGATGGAGTTACTAGTCCAACAATATTTGGAGGGCACAACATTGGCCACAGTAGCAGCATGAAGATTGAAAAATGCTGTTGTATCTTAGAGGTAACTGGTCACTGTGATGTGTACGCTTTTGTAAATAACAGTCCATTTCATCATACATTTGATTTATCATGTTTCCTCTCTCCATGAGCCATGTTGCCTGTCTCTATTGATTTGCAACATTTTCTTTTCCTATATGGCTTATTAGTCCGTTTCCTAATAGAGAGAGGTTAACAGCGTGATTTGCTGTTTCTTAATGTGCTGCATAAGATATTCATTAATATGAACAAATGACATATGCAAATAATACAAAATGCCTCAAGGCAATTAAATTCAATACAGACTGTAAAGATTTACAGAAGGATCATGTAAAACTATGCTAGGACAATAAAATGCAAAATAAAAATTCATTGTTGATGGGTTTAAAAACGTCTAAACATTTTAACAGCTTGATTGTATAGCAGTCATTGCATAGCTAATTATGTAATAGCTACATACTAACTTGGCATACGAGAATATAGTTAAACACCTCATTAGTGCTTATGGCTCAGTGGCCCAGAAAAGATCTTAGTTATTTTCCCCAAGTTCTGAGCACCGCAGGATGTTGATGACCTTTTAAAATTCTGTCTGCTTTAAGGCCACTGCGTTCTTACACAAAAAATGTTCCATATGTGCATTGGTGCCTGTGGATCTGCCTCATATGATAATGGTTACTATGGATCTGCTATTGATATAATCAGCTCAGGGTACACCCCGTCCAAAGTTTAAGATGGCAAATAGATGTAAATCTAAGAGTGGGATATAAATTTAAAGAATAAAACATTAGGCTGTTTGGAAAGAGAGAAGATGATGATCATGACAGTGATGATAATGATAAATATTATGCCAGTTTGGTCTGAATATTTCAGGTTGCATGTTATAATGGGCGCACAATTGCAGTGGGAATGTAACCACCTACATTGCTTAGTCTGAAACCAAATGATTGATCAACATGTGCTATATTAGTGGAATTAATTAGTCTCGGAATCATATTTGTGGATTTGTACATGCAGAGAAAAACCAAGTTTACAGTGCACTAATGGTGCTGAGGTGTGTCCCCCCCAAAATTGTCCTACAGGGTGCAGCAGAAGAGCCAATGTGGGACCCTCAGATATTGCAGACTCCAACTTTCACCTGCCCTGACCACTGGCCATGTTGGCTGGAGCTAATAGGGGCTGTAGTCCAGGCCATTGGAAGGGCACCACATTGGCTACTCTGGATAACAGAATGTGCAACTAATATAATCCGTCAAAACGCTGATTAGTAAATTTTGGGGCTTGCTTGTTTTCTTTGTTTTATTAAGATCAAGCCGCCTAGACTATGTAAGCTTGGAGTGGGAAGGAGGAGTTGTCACAGGGTGACAGGGAGAGAGAGGCAGCTTCAGTGATGGAATGTTTAGGGAGAAATGTAATTAGCAAGTTGCTTCACTTTTATGCCCTGCAGAGTGCCTAGCAAAATACTGGTGCAAATGAAACGTGTGACGCATTTCTCCTAAAGCTCCCATTAAATTTAATTGAGGTAGATTGCACTCTAAAATGTGTAGTAGTTGTAGAAATTGTAAATGAAACTGATATAAAGTTCTAGTGCAAAGAGGTGCCCAGTTTGGGCAAAGTGGCGAGGGTGTGTGTGTTCAAAAAGTATGATCAGAATTCAACACACCTTCTTCCTAGTTGGAAGATCAGCTCAGACCATTATATAATAGTCTAGTTATTATATTGTAAGAAAAATGCTATTGTCTTAGCTACCAGCCCTCCATAACTACACACCTTATCAATAGTTGTGACATTACCTAATAACTGTACGGAGACTATGATTTTTTCACTTCAGTATGTAAGCAAATTGCTGGTTAAATATGTTAAGAGGGACACGTAGGAGCTTTTCTATGAAACTGGAGTGTTCTTAATGAGGGCCACCCACAACGTTCTGTTCTGAACTTCCTTGTTCTGGAATAAGAGATTACGTGTTGCCCTAAAATAAAGTCTTATGTAACCACTGGTACCCTGAACATGAACTCTTGCTGCCTTTGGAACATATTGTTTGCCTTTTCTATCGGCCTCATAACAAACCATAACTGGCCCTTTTGCATACCAAAGGCCTAGACTTCATGGATGCTTTTCACAAAGTATATTTAAGAGGAAATAGAATCTTCAGTGACTTGCTTTGCTTTGGCCCAGCCCTGAAACTACAAGAGTTAAAGTACAACATTTGCTTTGATGGGTTACATTACATAAACTGAGTAAGTATGTTTATAGTATTTTAGTTTCATAGGCATGGGTCACTTTTAGACGGAAAGCATTCCAGTTTCTTTGCTCACTAATACCCAAAACAGATTACATTCCTTAGAGCCCAAGACACATACTGTAGTCACTAATATTTTCAAATATGAATCTTCATTAACAAGCTACTCCATTTCTATGCAATGTACTTTGTGGCAAGAACAACAAATGAAGATTGATTTGCAAGCACATTTTGTCAAGATGTAAATGATGTGTGTTAAATACTTCCCTGTCCTGAGTAGCAAGCATCTGAGTTGGTTAGAAGAATTCAATTAAAGTAAAAGCCCAGCCAATGCTGCTATTGTTCATGTACGCAAAGGCAGATTATGTATGTAACAGCAGTGGGTGGCATAGTAGGGTGGCCCCAGTCACCTAACTTCTGATTGGTCACATAACATCTGCTTGTGGGGAGGAAGAGGGAGAAGTGGTGAAGAGTTTGGCATAGTGCAAATGCACCAGCAGAGCCAGTCCATGTTCCTGCTGGTGTGTTTGCACTGTGCGGACCTCTTCACCACCTCCCTCTCTGCCTTCTGTGTACTGCCAGCCACACAACCGACCAGAGGTCAGGTGAGAAGCAGAGTCCCACCATGCTGTCTGCTGCTGGTATGTATGTATTTATTCATTCATAGCATTTGTATCCCACTCTTCAGCCAGAAAGGCTCCCAGAGTGGCTTACATATCAATATCAATATATATATATAAACAGTAGCTACCAATTACTACAATCCAAAAAGTTACAACATAAAAAGAAATCAGGGTGGGGAAGGAAGATGAAATCAAGCAAACTTATGTTACCAGGTTCTCATATCAACTAACTGACATCGAAGCAGATAGGTCTAAAAACAGGCCTTGTTGGACCCTTTAGAAATAGCCTGGTTTCCCTACCTTCCCTGTGGTGTCTGCAGCAGAAATATGTTGATCTTATGGGGAGTGGTTTGGCTTTCTGGAGCCTAACTGGCTTCTCTTTACTCCACCATTCAGAGCAGATGGTTCTGCTGCTCTATCTCAGTCAGTTCTGAAATCCTTCATAAGTGGGGAGGAGCAGCCCAGGCTTTCTGGTGAGAGCAGTAGCATGATGAAATGGCAGTTCCTCATGTCTGCTTGTTCTTTTCCTCACATGGCTGTTAGAAATGATGGGCAGTGGGGGTGGCAAACCAATTATTCCCTTTTTAACTTTTCTGCCATGTACACACTATGACAGGAGTGCCCTGAACTATTTTTTGCAATGTCTTTGGCTGACAAAATGAATTTCTGTGAAACCGATTATCTTACAGGATAATATTGGGCACTCTGCTTTCTTTCTTTCTTTTTCTTTTTGAAAGTTTGATGTTTCATTTCCATTAATAAGCAGAAGTGGAATATTTTGCATACCTCAGTCTAGCACAGTTCATGGGAAATCATTTGCCTCAATATTCCCATTTTGTATTTTTTTTGTGTGAACTGCCCTGGGATCTTTGGATGAAGGGTGGTGTACAAATTTAATAAATAATAATAACAAGAAGACTGAATACCACCCAGAAACTTTATAAAAATTTCATATCTATCCTGTCAACACTCGTATAGTCTTCAGGAACTGTTGCTGAAGTTTTGAAGTATTTACGCATACCTTAAAAGTGTTCTCCATTGTTGGTTTATCTTCTTTCAGAAACGTGTGCTGTCAACAATGGAGGCTGTGACAGCAAGTGCCATGATGCAGCCACTGGCGTGCACTGCAGCTGCCCAATGGGATTCATGCTTCAGCCTGATAGAAAAACGTGCAAAGGTAAATGGCAGCCAAATGTATATCCAGTGTATGGGAGAACACGTTCCACAGAACAGGACTGGGCCTTGTAGAGTTCCTTCTTCAGTTTACAAGTTGGAAAGTCAAATTTTACCTAGATGGGGCACTATAATTGTGTGACGTCTCCCAGTGCCCCTTTCCATGAACTGCCTCATTTAGCTGTTGCCTCCACAGAGCCGTCAATGGTATCCTCATCAACTGAGTTCCATAGTAACTCTGTCCTTAAAATTTATTGTGACATTAATTAAAACTGTTGATCCAAATCTAAGAGATGATTGTAGCATTTTCACCAGAGACTGCTGGTGACAACTGTCTTAGCCCATAGCTGTCAAGTGTCCCTTATTTGAAGGGACAGTCCCTTATTCCAGCGCCATGTCCCACCGCTGTCCCTTATTGATGGATGTCCCTTAAATGTCCCTTAAATGATGTCCCTTAAATTTCAAAGGAAGCAGCTCCTCTCCCTCCCTCCCTGCCGGCCAGGGAGGAGGGAGGCTCCAACTGTGTTGCTTGGCTGTGTTGCTCACCCAATAAGAAGTCTTAAGAATGACTGGGGGGTGGAGCTTGAATGCCTTGTGTGTGGCTAGTTAATGCAAGCTGAGGGGGGTTTTGAATGCTGGACGCCATTTTGTTGCACGTGCTGCTGCAAACTTTGCAGTGCAAAGCCAGACCAGGGAGCCATCTTAAGTTGAGGCTGCATAGGCCTTGTGGTGCATGTGATTTAGATTCTATTCAGTTGAACCTCTGGTTACAAAGTTGGTTGGACAGTGTTCTCGAAGCTACCCAGCATGAGTTTGACCAGACTGCAGGAGGACAGGAAGACTGGAGTGCCTGGAACAGGTGAGGCTGCAGGTCCCTTATTTTGGCTGCTGGCCCCTTATTTTCAAGGCTGCTGGTCCCTTATTTTCAAATCTATAAGTTGACAGCTATGGTCTTAGCCATTGCTTTGACCTGGTTTTCCAAGTGTAGCAATGGGTCTGGTGAGCAGCCCAAGGTAGTGAAATCTCCGTGTTCTAGCTTCATTCCCTCTTCACAGCTCTACCAAGCACCATTATTTCAAAAGCCTGCCAACCTTTTCATTATTTCTTGACAAAGAAATGGGAAACATAGAAAATTGCCTTCTATGACATCAGACCACTGGTCTACACTGACTGGTGCTTGAACTCCAGAGTTTCAGACAGGTTTTTTCCAGCCCTGTTTGGAGATACAAGGGATTGAACCTGCAACCTTCTGCATGTAAAACGTGTGCTTTGCCGCTAAGCTACAGCCCCGAGGACTTTCTCAAAAGATTCTCCCCTCTTCCTCTGCATCCCCCACCACACGCAAGTGCAGTTGTTACTTATTTGTTGAATGGGACATTTTCAACACAAGGTAGCACTTCTGTTGTGGGGATTTCACATTTACCCAGCACTCAAAACTGCTGATTTTTTGCTAAGAAAATTCTGTTTCTGCCTCTACTTCTCAGCTATGGTGTCTTTTTGCAGCTGGGAGTGTTGAGTGAAATATCATTCCTGTCTCCTGAGTGTTTATTGAATAGTGCCCATGGCCCCAAGCCACACAACTCCCCAAGATGCCAGTGCCATTTAAAAAGGGGATCCATTTATTTTTTTGTTACTTTTGAAGCTGAACGTCAACCTGCTATACAACTCTCCTGGCCTTATGCTGCCTCTCTCCCCGCACCCTCCTTCCCATCACAGCAATGTTCATCCATGGACTGTTGGCATTTTGGAGACTGGGCCTTCCAGAGTTAAAGCTATATCTCCCACTGATGAATATGTACATGCGTGCACACACACGGCTTCCCTCCCCCTTGGTTAATTACATGAGGACAGGGTATCACGCTATTGCTGCTGGATTGGCATTAGCATGAATACGAGTGAGAGAAGCGTGCGGGCTTTTTTATCATCTGGAAAGGCTTGCAGAGAAAAAGGTGAGACTCCACAAATGGAGGGCGTCTGTGTTCTGTCTCTGGCAGCTCCAGGGAACGTGACCTTAGTTAAAAGGGGGGGGGGAGCCCTTCTGCTGAAAGCTGTCTAACCGCCTTACTGATTCCAGACCCCATTTGCTTCATTATTATTTTTCAGAGCTCACCGCCTCCAAGATGCTAGAGTTCCAGGAAAGCATAATAACCCAGAGCCATATCCCCTGTGTCTGGGATTTTATTACAGTTTGGAGCTGTTTTACTGCTAGTTCACTTCACTCACAATAACAACAACAACAACAATAATGATAATAATAAAAAGCTCCAACTTCATAGTTCCTGCTAGAACTGATGGGATGGGGGAGACACAAGGGAGCAGCCTCAGATGAGGTTTGCTTGAACTTTCTTTCTGGGATTCATCAGCCTTGGTTCATTCTATTTTACAGACCATTTCCTAGCAATAAATTCTCTGGCTTGTAAGTAAAAATATATCTTAACAGGTAGCAGAAGCTATTTGAGAATTTAGGGAATCGTGTGTGTGAGAGAGAGGGGGTGTGTGGATGTGGGAGAGAGAAATGTTGGTTTTTGCAAAACAGCCAAATTGTAAAGGTTTGGTTTTTTTAGTCTACGTTTATTTTCAAATTCACTGTTCTTTGAAAACTATTTCCTCTTCCAATATAGTTATTTGCAATCCCTCCTGTTCATTATTTGAGTGCTCAGAGCTAGTTAACCATTGCATCCAGACAGTGATTATTGTGATTTTGGACCTAAGACTGGTCTTAGCCTTCATGTGCAGGGAGCTAATAAGGCTAAGCCACTGCCACTTCCCCACCCCTCTCCACTTAGGGCACAATCCTAAGGGGGCGTTGCAAGGATCATAGGATACAGCAGATCTTTTCCTCTGCCTATGGAGAGGGAGGCCAATGAGCAGTTAAGGGGATCTGGTAATACAAGCCTCCCTGCTGCAGGCACAGAAACCCCCTCGCCCTTGCTGCTTTGCTGTTTGTGCTCCGATAGTAGTAATGGCATGTTGGGAACTCAGCAGAAGAGGCTTTGGATCAAAGGTCTCTCATTCCTCTAACACATTCTAGGAATTGCCAGGTTGGTGGTGGTGTGTCAACTGTGCTAGTCCTGGGACTGTACTTACTTTCCAGCTCAATGGGGCAGGCAGGTGAAGAAAAACACCAGATCAGGGGGAACACACCTTTTTTTCTGCTGGTGTGAACCTACCAAGGTGTTGGATATGACAGTTCCTCCATCTTGGATTCTCTCTTTCCCATAAGATTGTCCTGCTCAACTTCTCCTCCAGATACAGTAGCAGACAGCCTGCTGGGGCAGTACTGCTCACTTAACCTCCAGTTGATCACACCATTGCTGCTTACCAAGAAGTACAAGGTGAGGTGGCAGTGAGGTCAGTGCAGTGCAGACTCACTTGCAAGAGCATCGGGTTGACTCTGCCAGTGTGTTTGCACTACACTGACCTTACTCCTGCATCGCCCCTCTACCTCCCAATAAACAGCAGCAAACCAACTAGGAATCTTGTAAGTGGCAGCAGCCCACCATTGCTACTGTCCAGTCATTGGTTGTTGTGAACCTACAGTCTTAGCCATATATCTGTCCCTTCTCAACAACTGGTGGCTTCCTGCTCATCTTGATCATAACGCTTCTGCTTCAGAACAATGCTCTGGGTAGCCTGCGCACTGTGTGCATGACCAACATCAACTTAGGCAACAGAACTTGTTCACAAGGATGTATTTTGAGCAACTGCCTCTGAGGAAATGCCATGGTGGGCTACACTATACCTACAGGTTGGGCTACATTCTTCTTACTATAAACAGCTTCACATAGCCCCCTTTGAAGTTCATCTCTCTCACCTTTCCGGTGCTGTTCTGCTTTCCCCACCCCACCCCAAATGCCACATTTTGGACAGAACTTAATTGCACATCTAAGCCCCTGCTTGAACTGGTTCCTTTTGGCTCAGTGCACAGCTAAGCCAAGGTTTGGCTTAGCATGTTTGTTCAAATCAGGGCATGTGGTTATTACTGAGGATCCCTTATTTTTCAAATGCCAAGCAGATCAGAAGGAGTGGAGGTTGGATGGGTGCAGGGAGGAGAGGAAGTGGAGTCCCCTCCACCACATGGGTTGAGTGGGAGGGGATGGGGGGTGCATCAAGCTGCTGTCAGTGGGGCAGCCAGCAAAGCTGCAGGTCCACTGTGGCGGCTGCTGCTGCTTTTCTGCTACTGAGAAAAGCTGCTCCACCTCAGTGCCAGGGGAAGGTAGTGCCTGGAAGTGAAGGATGCTCAGCTGCCCCATTCTCTGTCAGCGTGAGGGAAGGCAGCTCATGTCAGCAGTGTTATCAGCTAAGATCATTGTGCGATATTGGTGATGCCTTGAAATTAGCTGCTCTGTTCTCCCTTGCGCGAAGAGTGATATATTGCCAAGTCAAAATTGTTAATCATGATGTGATTTCAAAACTGATTTTGGCCAATACAGTATATTGAAAAATTGCACACTGCTAAAACAGACCATAAAATATGTGGTATCACCATGCAAAAATGACAAAAAATAGTTGGAGGGAAGGCAAGGGATGGGGCCGCGAATCCCATGGGTGCATTCCGTGGATTCCCAGGGGTCCCCGGACCGCTAATGGGGAACCACTGGCCTAGAACAAACCTTGATGACAGCATATGGGGGAAGGAGGAGAGAGCTTAATCAGAAGCTCAGGTTCAAATGGCATGCTAGACCAAATTTTGGTTTAGTTGTTATGCCACGCTGAGCTAAAAGGACCCAGGAGGAGCAAAACTGCTACAGTTCCCTCCCTGAGATCCTACACATTCATACTAAGCCACGGTTTAGCTTCATGTTAACGTCACCTGTGTTTTGAACCCAGGAGTACCACCCACCAATTCCATTTCTTCGTTGAGTGGGCATGCATTCAACTCTCACAGTTTCTTAACGAATTCCCTTAGCTAAGCATGTTTTGCCTTGTGTTTCCCCCCTCCCTACTGCAGATATCGATGAATGTAGGTTGAACAATGGCGGCTGCGACCACATCTGCAGGAACACAGTGGGGAGTTTTGAATGCAGTTGTAAGAAAGGATATAAGCTGCTGATCAACGAAAGGACCTGTCAAGGTAAAGTCATCTTGGGACCTTTGCTGAAAAGAGTGGTGCAACTATTGTATGAGTTCAAAGGCTTTAGGCACTGAGCTAGATTTGCTCACAGTTGTGGCCTGCAGCATTGGAATGCTCCTTCTCCTAAGCACACAACATGCTCCAGAGCTAAGAAATTATGGGACAGTTTTCAAGGAAACATGATAGCCAGTCATTTGTTCTGTTCTCCATAAGAGTAAAAAACAGTTGAAATTCTTTGGAAGATCCTGAGATAGGCATGACTGCACGAGCAGGCCAGATACTAAATGGCCATGCTTTCAGGCACCCACCCAAGTAGAAAGGGAAGATGCTAAAATACTGCTTCAAAGATGGAAGAGGGACCTGATGCAGAATGGAACTGTATCAATTAGTCTCCACTCCTATTAACACCTGGCAGCTTTTTATTAAGCAGCAATATAATGAACTTATCTGTATGGCAGTTAATTAACACCCTTAATCCCCTCAGGCTTCTTTCCTAACTTTCTTAGTCCTCAGTATACTTTGTTGGAAAAAAATAATGTAAAGTTTGTATTGCTGTCTTGATTTAAAAATAAACAAACAAATGCATAAACATGAATTTTAGTTCAACATTCTGAGCACTATAAATTTTGGTTTTCTTATTTTGAAAAAGAGTTTAGAACCAGGTGAAAAAAATGAACTTTGTAGTGTAGAAGAGGGAATTTTGCCTGCTGAAGTTCCCTGTTTAATGGTTGTGTAAAACAGGAGTTTGTGTATAAAGGAGTTCTGTCTTTTTTCACCTGGACACGCTGTTTAAAACCCTGCTGTCCTGAAATAGATGTTACTTCAGCATATCTTCAGAGTACATGCAGGAGAGGATCCATAGGAGAGCTGGTGGCTGCTTTCCAGGGGCCAGCCCTAGACATTTTGCTGCCTGAAGTAAAGGACAAGATGGCTCCTTCCTTTAATGGACAAAAGTCAATAGGGCTGATCAGCATCGCAGACCACGTGTCCTTCAACAGAGTAGAATGAACAGGGTCTTGGAAGGAATGGCAAGGGAGAGAGTTGATGCCACTGTCCCCATAACCCAGCATCTGCTGCCTCACTCTACTGTTTCCCTGTGGGTTGTTCCCCTGTCCAGTAGGTTTAATTGGGGTGTCAAGAGGAGAATTTTGGTTTTTTATATATATATATATATATATATATATATATATATATATATATATATATAATGTACCCCTGCCCGTACGGGCCAGTCTTGACAGACTCTAGGGTTGTGCACCCATCTCACTCTATATGCCGGGGGCCAGCGCTGTCCGCAGACACTTCTGGGTCACATGGCCAGCGTGACAAAGCTGCTCTGGCGAGCCAGCGCAGCACACACGGGGATATATATATATATATATCCCCAAAATCTGCCAGCCCAGCTTTATATAAGTAGATTTGTTCAAATTTTCTAATTTGAACAAATTTACTTCTGTAAAGCTGTTTTATCTTTTCTTTCAGGGGGAAGGAAAACCCCAACATTTAGGCTGCAATCCTGTGTGCACTCACCATGGAGCAAGCCTAGTTGAACTCTGTAGGGCTTCTGCGTAGGCATGCATTGCACTTTTATTAAGATATTTGATCAATTTCATTGTAATTTTAAAAAAAATCAAACTCTCATTCAGAAATAAGGTGCAGTAGATTTTTGGGAGATCAACAGCCGAGTCCTCAAAACTGTCATTTCCAAGATAATGGAAATTTATTCTCACTTCTCTCTCTTTTGAATAGGAAATGTATGGTAAATTTGTGCTTCCATGCAATTAACATGGCTAGTCTATTTTACTGACTCATGTTTAGTTGCTGCCTTTTCACTGTAGAGGCCCTTACAGAAAACAGTTAAAAGCATCATTATAAGAAGCATTAACATTAAATAATTGCAGTACAAAAAATGCAATTAAAAACATTTAAATCCAATTAGCTCAAAGACCACAGTCTGATGGAAAAGAGACGTTTTCCTCAATCGTCTGTAAATCCCAGTAGTGCTTAATCCCACTCTGCTAAAGAAATTGTCCCTTCCTATGCTTTACCTCAGCATGACTAATCATAAAAAAGGGAAAGTATTTCTCTTCCTGTACAAATACCTTGGAGACACATAGCACTTTGGGCATGCAAAGTGTTAGCTAGCCCTCATACACTTCACCGCTCACTGACATGATACCAGGTCACAACCCAGGCCTCAAGAGGCAACTAGCTTAGGTCTACAGCTGGGTTCAACATCAGGGCCTGTTTCCTTCTCCAAATCAGCAGCTGTAAGTTCTCCCCTCCCTTCTGGCTGGGGAAGGCAGCTGCTAACATGTGATGTAGTGCAGGTGTTTTATTCTGACTGCATAAGGCCTGGCCCTAGGGAAGCTGGGCGTGTGTTAGGAGTTGAGGCGGGAAGAGTTGCTTTATGCTTAGGTTATGGCCCCTTTCATCTCCATCCAGGTTCTGCCTTCATGGCTTTCTTTTTATGAGTTTGTGGCAATTAGGTAAATGAAGCCAATGACGTAAACATGAAGCCAGTAGGCTGGCTGTGGCCAACAGACTGTGCCTTCCAGCGCCAGTGAACTTCCCTTTAGGAAAAGAATAGGTGGCCCTGGCATCTCCCTCAGCAAAGACTCTACTGGGAAAGCATATTTTCTGCTTGTGGTTACTTCTGAGCCATCTCACTGGGAAAGTGGCAGTGGAAAACTTGCAAACTCTCTTCCCATTCCCAGCCCTTTTGCTCCATTTAGGGTTCTTGTGTCAGCCCTGAGATTCAGCCCTTTGACTTGCATACAAAGTTGAGGAATGTGTTGGCCCTAATCTTGTGACGCACTCCCAAGCTGATACCTCTGTCCTAATTAGTCAGAAACGATTTCCACCTTTCCTCCCCTCCCCAGTTCTGTACTTGTAGTCACTGGCACGGTTTAGAACCACTTTTTCACTCATAAACATTATGTACTAAAAGGATGGGGGAAAGATCCCTTTATTCAGGCAGGCAGATAGGCAGTTTTTATCCCAGCATTCCTCCAAGGAGCTCAGAGCAACACACATGGTTCCCTCTCTTTTATCCTCAACAGCCCTGTGAGATAGGTTAAGCCGACAGAAAAGGAGTGTGACTGGCCCAGTTGTCACCCAGTGAGTTTCATAGCTCTGGAGATTTGAAGCTGGGCTTTTACCTTTTTTCAACCTTCATGATTTTTAGTGTAACATTGTGGTATTAAGGAGTAATTGCTGTGCATGAAATAATATTGAATATGTGTACTTCAATGCTTATTTTACTTGAGGGGGTTAGGTCTGACAATGCAGCCTGGACTGCAGAGGAAATAATGGCAGTTGGACATATACATATACATATACATATACATATACGTACATACACACACACACAGACACACACACACACACATACATATGTGTGTTTGCTTCTGTTAGAATGACTTTGACAAAAGACTGCTGGCAATGGGTACAGTTTCAAAATCTCTGGTTATTGAGGAAGTAAAATAATCCAGGCCTCAGGGATGTACTGTCTACTTGGTGGAATGTGGCTTATACACTCTTTTCCTGTTCCCAGATATTGATGAATGCTCCTTTGACAGAACCTGTGACCACATCTGTGTAAACACACCAGGGAGCTTCCAGTGCCTGTGTCACAAAGGCTACACACTCTATGGACTCACCCACTGTGGAGGTATCAGTGTGACAGATAAGGATGAATGGGACTTGGCTGTTCTTTGTGACCTCTTTGGCACCTCTTTCTTGAACTTTAAACCTTCTACCTCTCTCAGGTATAACTGTCCTCTTTCTGTTCTAAGCTGAAGCCCAGTGACCTTTGACCTCCAAGGGACCAGTTCAGACTGGTTTTCATTTATGGACAGTAAGCTTTGAGAAAGTCTCCATTGCTCATGTAGTTTCTGCTTCACCCAAAGCAGGGTCCTCCCTGTAATATTGTCAGTAATCATTCAGCTCTAAGCTGAACACAGAACCTGGAGAAAATCAGCAAACCCAAGAGCTGAATAGTAGAAAACAGTTCTTGCAAAGGGAGGTTCTTGCACATTGGGTAGGTAAAGTCATTTTTAAATTCAAAGATGACTAAAAACTGTTCTTATTAATGTGCAAGGTAATATTCATGAATACTTAGTTTCTTTCAGAAGACACTGGTGCTGGCTTCAATTGGAAATGAGACACTTTACTATGTGATGGTGGATCATAGGCACAGTAAGACAACTGCTGTGTTACTTATCAAAGATAACTCTCCTGCATCTCATGTTGGATGGAAATCTTTAGGCAGGATGCTAATAGCTCAGATTGAGCTCAATCCATTGATTGGGATCTTGCATTCTAAACACCAAGGTTGTGTCTGCTGTCATGCATTGCAGTTTAACATTCCCTCCCACTCCGTGAAGCTGTTAATAATGAAATCTAGACTGTGACCATGTAGAGTGGTGTCTCTGACGTGATACAGCACATTACTGCAGTTTAGACCCAGCAGCTCCTTCCTTCATGGTCCTGCAGACATTAGTAGAATAATGTAGTTCAGGATCAGCTCATAACCAGGTTAACAGTGGGTGGCCATACAGGCAGTGAAGTTACCAACATAGACCTGTGAAAATCTGAAAGCACAGACATGGAGAGCCTTTCAGAGTACAGGTCATTCACTGTTTGTGTACCACAAATTACTGGGTGTCTGGTATCCCAGTGCTTCTGTCTGGATTATACTGGTGGCTTATCCTTTAAGACAGGAAAACAAAAGCAGGTCTGTTCACTGCAAGGATAAACTCTGCAAATCTAAACACTTGTTGGATCTCACATCATCAGCATAAGCATATGTATGTACAGTAGGGTGCTGTCTATAATGAGTCACACCATTGGGCCATATAGCCCAGAATGATCTGTTCATATTGATAGTGGCTCCCCAGTATCTTGGACAGAGATGTATTCTAATCTTGCTGAGATCCTTTTGATAGTAATCACTAAGGGTGGATCTTCTACTTCTAATACATGTGCTCTACTACTGAGCTCTTCTCAATGCATCTTAGTGGCCCTAGTCAGAGAATCTTTGTATGGTGAGTTGCTTATCTGATGGATTTTATGGACTGTGTTTGCCCTTGCTTGAAGTGTAGAGAATACTATAGTTTATGCAGAAATGTTTCATTTGAATGTTCTTTATAGTCTCTACGTAATTTTTCCATAAAACAGCTCTAACACAACAATTCCAGTTTTACACAAAAATTAAACCAAGACTTGCCGAAGCCAATGATTGAACCAAGCAAGAGCTGAACAGGTTTCTTAAAGCCTAGCCTACCATTCCTGCACCTGGACCACAAGAGAGATTTCCGCCCCACCCCCCTCTTTCTTTCTTGTGAGACCACATTTAGTGAATTATGTTTCCTAAAATATGTTTGCTACTCTTTGCAGAGAGTGGCAGGACCAGACATTTGTCTCTGCAGCTATAAACAAGGTGACAGGAACGATTTGTGTCTTGTCCAGTGGGATGTGAGTAGGGGAAACCCCACTGTGAGTTTTTGGCAGAGGATTTGAGGTGGGTGGAGGGGAACTTCAGAAAGTTTTATGGTTTCTCAATGGAGGGGGAGGAAAGGGTTGGGGTTGTGCCAGCAAGAAAAATGGAAAGACAGATGGAAGGCGTGGAGGGGTTTGTTGGAGCGTGTTGCTGCAGCAGTGTGGCTTGCCACGATAAATATAAGGGAGAGTTATTTCTCTCAAGATGCCCTAGATTATACAGACTGAGGCAGATGCATAAACAGACTGCAGCAATTACACGCACACAAACATGCACGCAAGTAAAGTATGCAGACTGGCAAAAGTGAAGTGCACCTGAAAACTGAAAACACAAATTCGCCCGTTGGGCTCAATTTGCCACTCCTGTCAAATTGGTGCAGATTCATGGTCTTCAGTGTGGTAAAATGTAATCACAAATCAAAAACAGCATATTGTCCGAGTGCCAGTGTTGTCACGCTGCTTCGTAAGTATTGTTTAAACTGGATGCTAGACCTTTACTTGATGTCTGTCCAAAGTGTGCTAACATTCTGTGGCTGCCAAGTACAGATCCCCTCTGTACTTGCTTGAGATGAAGCTGTTTCTGCTTAGGCAACCAATTTTGTTCAGTCCTTTGCATGATAACAGGCAGAGCCCAGCTATGGGTCACAGGTGTGGACACAGAAATCACATTGCAAAGAGACAGTTGTAGATGGAGTGTGTCTGCATCACTAGCATATTTTGTGAGAAATGTCACATTTAATTGTCCTGCTAGGAGAGGCTTATTGTATGGAATTAGTTGCTTGCAAAGGAAGGTTTCATTTCATTTTTAATCATAGACCTGAGATGCATATGTACAGGAGGCTGCACGCTTCCGGTGCACTATTGCTAAATGGGGGGGGGGGGAGAGAGAGAGAGTGGAAACGCTCCTAACAGAAACAAGGGCTATAGGGCTAAGCAAAGGTTCCTCCACCCTTTAATCTTATTATGGTTCTTGGAGTGGGAGTGGCGACCATGTACACACCATACATACAGTTCCCTACGAAAGCTCTGTAATGGATAAACTACAGCTCCCAATATACTTTGCAGGAAGTTATGCACTATAACATTTTTTAACAGTGTTTCCGTGCACTGCTCTGGTTTCGCCAGAAGCGGCTTAGTCATGCTGGCCACTCCCTCGGCCAGTAAAGCAAGATGAGCGCCGCAACCCCAGAGTCGTCTGCGACTGGACCTAACGGTCAGGGATCCCTTTACCTTTATGCACTATAAATATGCTTTAAATGTATAGTGTGATCACAGCTGAGAGAGAAGGTTTTACTCAACGCATACCTATGATATGAAAGTACAGCTGCCTTAGACTACCTAAGGAATTTGATTTGAAGGGTGGCCATCCAGGCCCATAGCACATCTTCTTTATGCACTGTGTCATGTTACCTGTTGAGGAAATAAACCAAACAAATCAGTACACAGGGGAGATGGGGGCAATTGGCTAGGTCACACACCAGAATAGAAAAGGAGCTAGATGCTATATCACAAATTGAAAAATGAGTGATTAGACACTTGAAAGGGGGCTAATCAAGCATCATTTTGCAATTTTTATCAAGAGAAATCTACAACAGAAGATAGCAGTTCTGCTACTTTGCTTGGCGCTGTTTGGGCCCTAGCCTCAGTAACATGAAGGCAATGAAATATTGCAAAGCTTGTAAGTCAAGATGGAAAGGTTTTGGTATTTGGGGGGCTTGTCTACATTTTGCATTCCTTGGCTCAGCTACAGTAAGTGATTAAGAATTTAAATTATATACCAGACACCTGCAGCCAGAGATTTGCCCAGTTAATCTGAAGTAATATGCAAATTTCTGCCTTCCTTACTTTTTCACACTGTTTTCAAAAACCGTCCTTCCTGCTCCAAGGCTTTGTATGATGAGGTTTCCTGCATCTCTCTTCTGCTTCCTTGATCGCATGACCTTCAGCCCTCACCCTCTCAATTCTAGTGCAACGTATCATCCATACATCTTGTGTGGGACTTTCCCCGTCTTCTTCCTTCCTCCATGAACCATACCCTCGGTTATTGTTCCTTGTAGGCTCTGTGTCTCCCTTACAGTAGACTGCACTTCTAATCCCAGGCTCTTGTGTGCAGTGTTCCCCCCATCTTCCACCTTATTTTACCTCAACCACAACAACTTGGCATGGTTTTACATTCTACCTGCAGCAAGCATCCCTACAGGTTTCTAGGCCCTGCCTGATATTTTATCCCTTCTGATTTCCCCACAACAGATGTATATACCAGTGCTGGTCACATCCAATGTTTAGCCATAAACTTTATCACTTGAAATTATTTGAAAAGAGAGGATCAGGCAGACACAATTAGGTAGTTTGATTGTCATTCATCTTGCTTTGCCAAAGTAGGACTTAACTCTGTGCTCTCCTGCTTTAACTTATGGCCTTATTTGAACATTCATTACTCTTCTTTGGAATTCTCTGATTCACACTGAAAGCTGAAAAGGAATCTTATCCAAGACCACATCAAACAATTAATCCATTTTTCATTGCTGGTTTAGGACACTAAGCTCCAGGAATACTGTGTTCCCACAGTAAATTGGATTTAACCCTGTGGAGGAAGATAGAAATGAAATTAAAAGGGATATGCTAGACAGGTCTTTTAAAATAAAAAATGAAAGATATGTCCCATCAGTATCATTATTAGGCTTCAGAGATAGACTCATGAGTGCAACACGATTATTAACCCAACCCAGTGCCAGTGCTGGGCTATTCTGTGCCCTAGACAAAGCTAGCTACTTGCACTCCACAGTTGTTTTAATTGCTATCTTCAGTGCTCAAAAACTGATGTCTTGTAGAAAAAATTGAAAAGCACAAAATTTGAAACTGCTAAATAATCTTTGTGAATTATGATGTTAAAATTTAAGTCTCTTGATAGTTTCAATTTCAGGCACATCAGAAACTCAATTTGTGTGCTTTTCCTTCTTGTGGTGGCATAAGCCTTGGAAGTCTTTGAGCTATTGCTGTAAGTCCACAGCACAGAACTTCAGCGCCAATATCTTTCTTTCCATTGTGCATCAGTGATTTTTCCAAATGCTTGCAGCCCTTAAGTACATCTTCAGTAGATATTTTGTTGATAGATACTGCATATATGATACAGGAAGCCAAATAGGGAATTATAGTGGATCTGTTGTAGCTTGTATGGCCACGACTGAAACAACATAGTAGAAACCTACTTTGAATTTCTGCTTTGGTCGTCGCAGTGCCTCTTCTTGGGCCTCTTACTCAAACTGCCATTTCTTCCTCCTTTTTCCTAACCTGTTCTGTCTCAAAGTTTGGTGGTATTTCTAGCTCCTTTGCCATCTCAATAAGATCTATCAAAACTTGTTGAAAATCCTCATCATACCTGGAGTAATTCTTGGTCACTTGCAGTTGCCCTTGTCACTGAGTTTAAATCAGCTTCCTTATTTTGTAGCATTTTGCTCATGAGTTGAACATCGAAAAGGATGTTATAACATGTGATACCACAAACTATTTTATTTATTGATTTATATAGAGCATTTGTAGCCTGTTCTTTCACCAAAAAAAGCCTCCCGAGTGGTTTGCATAAAAACATAACCAGACAATCGCTACCCACGGGTTTACGAGCTTACAAAAAGTGGCTTGCAAAAAGATGAATTGGCACAAACATCAGTTTGGGTGTTCCACAGATTGATGTTTGCTCTGTGTTTTAGAGGCAGTATACTTCTGCATGCCAGTTGCCATCTTGTAGTACAAGAAATGGGGTGGGGGTTTCAGATCCCCCCAAATAGCCCAATGAGGATTGAGATTGCTTCGTGGCTGTGGAGGGAGGCCGGGAAATGGAAAACTAGGGTGGGGAATGGAATGCACTGGAGTGGGTGGAATGTTGAACAGCAACACTGCACACTCCTAACGTTTTGCTGCAGGTCCCATTTGTTGACTGCATGAGGCATCTGGACACAAAAATGGGAAATAACTGGAGACAGCTATCACCACCATGCTTTGCTTTGTGCCCTTTGTTGCCCCCAGGGGAAGGTTGTCACATTCCACTCAGGATTATGGTTTTGAACCAGAAATCTAAAGGGGAGTGACATTCAGAAAATACTGGGGGCGGTGGATTCTTTACCACTGAAATTAGGTGAAGCAAAGTGTTACCTCTTTCCATCTTCAGGGAACTTCACAGACTTGCATGTGTTGCCATGAAGAGTGTGAGAGCTAAGAGTGGCAGACCACGTGCTTTGTATGAAAATGGTTCAGTCCCTAGCATCTTCATGTAGGGCTGGAAAACACATCTTGGAGACCTGCTGTCAAGTCATTGTGGACCACAGCTGGGCAGCCAAGTACAGCCCATTGCCACCCTCAATATGGTCCATACTGAGAGCATACAAAGAGAACCCTGCCTTTTAAAAAAAGCTGCGTTAGAATTGCTGGGGAGTTCAGACTTTAACCTCCCTGGTAATCCCAAGCAGCTGGGGAGGGGGAGGTACTTTAAAATGGGGGGGGCAGCCTAGGAGATGCCTGTCCTGCCTCTGCCCCTGCTCACGTCAGGAGCTGGAGTCTAGCGTGAGTCAGCAATCAAAGAAAAACGCGGTGTCAGTGCAGTTAACTCTTTATTCAAGATACCAAAACGGCACAGGCCTAGTGATCCCAGCAACTCTTCCCAGTAGGCCTGCTCCAACAAGGCAGTTGCAAGGATTGAAGATCCCTGCTTTTCCACCACTCTCTAAGGGTCCCCCTCTCCAGGGTCTTTCCCAAGCAGTCGCAAACAGCACCAGCACACAACCCCCCTCTTCATTTCTCTGCATGTTCTAGGAGACCAGGGGGAGGTGAACTGCTTGCAGCAGGAGGGGGAGACTCCCTGGCTTCTTCAGCAGCCTGCCCCTCAGTCTCCTGGCCCCATTCCCCTCCAGCTTCAGAGTTGGAACTGCCCTCTGCCACAGCCTCTTCCTGCTCACCAAACCCTGTTACCTCTTCTGCTTCTGGCACCTCCTCCCAGTCTGCTCCTTCTTCTCCCTTTGGCTGCTCATCGTCATCCTACCACTAATCCCCTGGCTCTGAGCCTTCTTCCCCTGGGGTGCTCCAGCTGGTGCCTTGCACCACTCCTATGCATCCAGCCAGTCCATGACAGCCCAGCACTAGGTGCAGCCCTGCCCATTATATGTGGCCCTGGACACCCACCCGCTGCTGCATGTGGCCCTCAGGAACAAAAGGGTTGCCCATTCCTGGTCTAGGCAGTACTGAGCTAGGTGCACCAAGGGTACAAGGTGCATTCCTAACTTTCTCCTAGCTAAAAGCTCCCTTGGGATGGGAGAAAGTGAGTTACATAAATAAACAAGATGAAATGGAACCAAGCCCAAGAATGGCTTGGCAGTGCCATATGAGTCAGCACCCAGCCTACTCCAAAGAGTTGGGAGCAAAGCCCATGACCTTAGTGTGCCCCATTGTGTGGGAGTGTGCTTTGGCAAAGCCTGGAAGACTGAAGCCTTTGTAAGTGGAGGTTTCAGAACAAAGCCCTGCCTTCATGAGTTGTTTTGACTCTTCCTCTCCCATTGTTTGCTCGCTTCATGCTAGACCTTTAGCATTGATTTCCATGGTTGTGGTTCTCTGTGTGCCATAATGGGGAGAGCTGCTGAAAGGGGGCAGCATTGGTAGACTGTCTGACACAGCTGTCTTTTGAACTTTAGCAACCAAGCCTTTCCATTTTATTCTGATCTCTGCTCACAGTCACACTCTTGATTTCTGGAATGACTCTAAAGCAGGGTCTGATGAGTTCTTTCTCTCATCGTTGATTACCTATTCTTGATTGGCAAAGGTAGGGATGAGGCAGGCTTCCTGTACAATGGATGGGATTAGACATTTTCTATTGTGGGAAATATTAGATAGACTAAGCAGGCAGCAGGTTGCATTTCCCGACAGTTGCTAAGTTTTCCTAGAATAGGTTTAGAGCAGTTTTCCCCAACCTAGTGCCTTTCAGATTCCCCCACCCTGATTATAAATCCCATCAGCGTATCCAGTGACCAGGGATGATGGGAGTTGTGGTCCAACAACATCTGGAAGGCACCAGATTAGGGAAGGCTGGTCTAGGGAAACAAGCAATATTTTCAAAATGTGCCTGCCCTATGTATTTTGGGGCCTATTTATATCTCTGGACCTCCATTACCTCTAAAACGTCACTACCACCAGCTGATGGGGTTGTGCAATTGCATGTTAAGCGCTGAACTTGGCTTTTGGCAGACCACCTAAAAGATGAATTAGCAGTAACATATCAAAAGATTAATTTAGCCTGTGGCAATGCAGCGACACAAATGGCAACATAACTGGGAGTCAGGATGGGCTGGCAGAAAAAGGACTGGCACAAGCTGAAAAGGTCATATTACTGACTAGGCTGCAGTTCCACCAGATGCTTGGGAATGTGTGTGGAGCAGGTTTGTATGTGGAGGTTAAGCACTACTTAGCAGCAAGCTAATTTCCCATGAAGCTCTAGTTTGGCCTTCCCAATTACAGTATGCTTTAAAAAATAAATTGTCCACCAGTCTAAACCTATAATAGGTGTGTGCACACTGGGGAATGGGACATAGGAAGCTGCCTTACCCTGAGCCAGATCTAACTCAGTATTGTCCGCACTGACTGGCAGTGGCTCCCCAGAGTTTCAGGCAGGAGGATTGAACTTTGGACCTTCTGCATGCAAACAAGATGCTCCACCACTGAGCTACACACTGAATGGAAAGCCCTTGTGACCATCATGGAGCGCAGCATTCTAAATGTGCAAGGGAGGACTGTCATCATTTCTAATCACTCCACTCAGTATCAATACCTCTAGCTACATATTTTTCCCATTCTTTGTTAGCCTTTCCAGTCTGTTTTCCTCTGTTTTCTCTTCCACTGACAAACTTGTAAACTGTTGGAAGTGCGACTGCAGAGATCATCTAGTTTGTACTCTGTTTTATTTAAGAAACTTTGCTAACAGAAGCACCTCAAGGCAGGACCTTATGTCTTTGACTCCCATGTATTCTGATGGCACAATATATACAGTATATGAATATTTGATCTGGCAGCTGTCTTTCCTGAATGACAAGGTGAATCAGCAGCAGAGGTTATCGTATGTTTTTATTGTCTTCTCTCCCTCTCCCTCCCTAGTCTCTTTCCCACTTACTCTTTAACACTTGGTTCTTTTTTGTCTGATTACCAACCCATATTATAGTTCTGGAACCAGAGTCTTGGATACTCTAATCAGAATGTTCCATTTGTACTATGTTGTCATATACTTATTCATTGCATCTCTTCGTTGCCCTTCAGATGTCGATGAATGTAGCATCAACCGAGGAGGCTGCAAATTTGGCTGTATAAACACCCCTGGCAGCTATGAATGTACTTGCCCTGCTGGCTGCAAACTTCATTGGAATAAAAAGGATTGCATAGGTGAGTGTAGAAAAGGGCTGAGGTCATGCTGCCCTCCAGAGGCAGAATGTATTTCAGCAGGCAATGTTCTAGCTGAGGACAAAATTACTGTAGTAGCTGAACAGAGAACAAGGAGACTAATTTTAATGTGGCATTGTTGTATGGCACTGTTTTGATAGTTTAAATTCTGATGCTGTTAAAAACCACAAAGTTATTAATGACAATTCCACACGCTGGCCTGGTGCTGTGTGATTGCCAGTAATGCAAAACTTCTCACCATGCTGTGATTTATTGAGAGGAGTGAGATTGCAGAATAGGCAACCACAACATTTTGCTCAAACACAGAAAACTAGCTTAAGTTTCGCAGAAATGTGTTGAACATTCCCATGTGTTTTTTTCTGCAATACAATAAAACCTAGCAGAGGCATGTCCAAAAATGAAATATGAGATTCTTAAACAGCTGTCACAGAATCTGTGTTTGGAAATTCAGGCATTCTTAATTTTTAGCAGATTCTGCTCTTGCTGTTCCAGTAGTGACCCTGCATGCTTTTAGACTTTATTCCTTCAGCAGTGAGCTGAAAAACTCAGCACAACACATGCAGAGAAGTTGCTGTAGCAGATACAAGTGGAAACAGTAGTAGTAGTAGTGGACTAATGCTTATTTACTTCCACTGGAGAACAAGGTTTGGCTTTGCACTGTAGCCATCCCAATATTTGTGTGCTCTTTTTAAAATTACACCATCTCACCTGCATATTGCTATCATTGCTGTCTGTTGTTGTTTGTTCTTCAGAGCTGGTGATATGTTTGGCTGGCGCAGTATCTCCACGAGCCACACTTACCTGCAACAAGAATGGCAAGAAGGACAGCTGCTCCCTCACCTGTGCCTCTAAGGCTCGCTTCCTGCCTGGTAGGTGCACCAATCTGCCACTCCTTCACCCCAGGAAATTTAATAGCTTCAGATGCAAGAAGCTGCAATATTTGGAGGCTTGTGGGCATTGTGCCATTATGGGTCCCTGTTATTCACTTGCTAAAGGTAAAGGTAAAGGGACCCCTGACCATTAGGTCCAGTCATAGCCGACTCTGGAGTTGCGGCACTCATCTCACTTTATTAGCCAAGGGAGCCGGTGTATAGCTTCCAGGCTCTTGCTACTGGGTTTTTAATCTTCTGTCCCCTTTGCTCTCATTTTTAATACTGCATTTGAAGCCTTATTCAATTCCATTCCTCAGTCCTATGGCCTGTTCCCTTTTCTATCCCCACATAAGCTCTTGGAGGTTTTCGGCTTTGATTTCAGTGGCACTTGCAGGAGAAGGAACAGTTGACAAAGAACTGGGATGTGAATGGAGGTTATTTGTGCTGCTTTAGTATACCCTAACAGAGCCCACCACTGATGCCTACCACTGATGTTGTGGTCCTGTCCATAAGGTGTTCACCTGATTCCAAAGGCTGAATAATATACACATTGGGACATAAGTTGTCACATTAGCTTAAGGATGTAAGCTTGCAAAATGGGAACTCTCCCCCTCTCCTACCACTGTGTGCACCCCATGCTCTTCCCAATTCTCCCCTGGAGGGTTGTGGAACCCTTTAAAACAGATTTAGGGGGTACATGGGAGGTGATGGATGGGGACGTTTCATTGCACAAGTGGAAATCTTTGGACTGGCAGACTGAGTTAACTTACCACTACATCAGATGCAATCCCTGGCTGATTGGGGACTTTTTAAGTACTCTTCATGCATTTAGCTTTGGCTCACTCTCCCTCTGGCAAGGCATATGTGATCTCACTCGTGAATGGCTCCCACAAGGCTGTGAGCCATGAGAATTTGCCTAGATTATCCACACTCTGGCACCATCTGTGCTCCTTTTATGTGCTTGTATTGCACTGGGATTCTTTGGTGGGTTGTTTATTCTTTCTGAATGGAAATCATGGGGGTGGGGAAACATAGTAACGGGTTCTGGCCAAAACTGGGCTGCTTTCATCCATATGATTGATGGGCAAGATCAGGCTTGGGCTAATCTTTCAAAAATACATTTGGGGTTTGGGTTGGGCTGGGCTGGGCTTGCCCATGCAGGCCCATGCAGGCATACATTTAGAAATATCTGGCCACAGGCCTCCGCTGATTACGACTTGATTCTTTCTCTTTGCAGAGTCTGACAATAGCTACACAGTGAGTTGCGGTACCCCAATATTGCGGCAGGGACCTCCACAGAGGCCCAGCAATATCAGCCATCCCTGTGTTGGTAAGTTTGGTCTCCTGAGTCCTCAGGGCTCCTCCCGAGGCTCGGTTGGCTCCCCTGATACTTAGCACCTGCCTTTTCTTTTAGAGACTGTCGCTGCTCCAATCAAACAAAAGGCTTCCTTCAAAATCAAGGATGCTAAGTGTCACCTGCACCCACGCATGAAAGGCAAGCAGGATGAGGTGGGCAGGAATGCTGCACTAGGTGAGGTACTCCCTCCTTTGTATGTCTTCTCAAAGTCTTCCCTTTGGGCTGGTTTTCAGTCCTAAGTCTTGTATGTCACGAAAGCAGCTCTCTGGATTTAGCCTGCAAGTCTTTGTAAGCATTCTCTTGTGATGCTTTTAAGGACCAGGGAACTGTGCTTTCCACATTTGCCATAGTTGCATACTGCAACTATTAAAAACCAGCCATACACAGAGAGAGCTTGAGGCTCTGGGAGTCAAGTCTTCCTGCACTCACTCTTGGGCATGTGGTTGGGAAGCTGTGGAATAGTTGAGGCTTTTATGCTTTTGTGCCTTTGAATGTGTGAGAGCCCAGAAGCAGAAAAGAGAGGATAGAAGGATGAAAAGAACCCTAAGCATGGGGGCCCTCCCCTCCACAGAGGATGATGTAGTGCGGAGGAAAAAACTGATAGCAATAACACCACGGATGGCTGTGTGGGATTTTATCACTGGGAAGTCGTGCCTGAGAAAGTGCCTTAGCTAGTGTGGGGAGGGTATGGGAGTAAAACGATGAGCTTCCTGCCACGGGATAAAGGAGAGAAGCCCTGCTTGATTGTCACAGAGGAAAATGCCTGTCAGGATTTCAGAGAGATCTTGCTTGGAGGATATTAACACCGCGCCCCATCTTTCCTAGGTGGGGCAGCCCCTTGCTCAGATTGCCAGGTGACATTTGTGAACTTAAAGTGTGATTCATCCAAGAAGGGCAAAGGACGCCGTGCCCGCAACTCCCCCAACAAGGAGGTGACTCGCATCACGTTGGAGTTTGAAGCTGAAATCAAGCCCGAAGAAATTACAGGTAGAGGAGGTGACTGAGAAAGCTTGGCTTTCCCCTCAGGGGTAGGGGACAACATCACAGAGTAATATGAGGAAGAGACCTCATGTTCCAGGAACACCCATCTCAGAAGAGAGTACAAGAGAAGGACTGGTTGACCCAACTTTCCTAGATATTGTTAAAAGATTGTTTAGAAAAGGCAATGTCTTGTTTTATTTATGCATACACACACTGTCATAAATATATACATACACAAATTCATTGAAATTAATGGACGTGATTACTAGCTTAGGCCCATTCATTTTAGTGGGTATACTTAGTTGGATACAACTTTATAATATGATGAGTTCTTTAGTTCACAACATCTGGGGGGTGGGGCGATGAGGTTGAGGAAATTTGAAATATATGAAGCTTCCCTTTTCTGACTCAGACCATTGGTCTGATTTATCCAGCATGGTGCACTCTAATTGGAAGTGGTTCTGCTAGGCCTCAGACAGAGGTCATTCCCTGTTCCACTACCTGAGATCCTGTTAACTGAGGATGCCTGGGATTTCAGCCGGAATCTTCTGCATGTAAAACATGTGCTGTACTACTGAACTATGCCCATTCCCCTAGCATGAGACCAGAATAGATTATTCTGATTTAACAGCAGCTGGAAATAAAAAGGGACATCAGGTTGTCTTTGGAAATGGGGTTTCTTCTTCCTAGTGCTAGGTTAAACAGCACAGTCTCATTCCCTCATCTCCAGCCAGCTGCAATCTGAACTGTGTGCGGCAGAAGGTTGAGAAAAAACTGAAATCGGCAATCAAAGCACTGAAGAAATCCATAAACCAGGAACGGTTCCTGATCCGCTTTTCAGGGATGGAATACGAAGTGGCACGGAAGCTGAGCATGACTCCCGAGAGGCAGGAGAGTTGTGGGCCGGGACAGGAGAGACTGGGACCTAAGTGTGGTAAGGAAACAACCTGAATTGGTTGGGGGTGAGGAAAGGAAGAGTAAAAGAACCATTTGCATATTAACTGCAAGCCTTTAGTGCTACACTGCTGCTCTCATGCCATTGCTGCCAACTCTAACATCTATGGCAGCCACATGTGCTTACAGACAATAGATACGGTTACTGTGCTCATTCTTTTGAGGGCCTGAGCTGTATTATTGTAACATGGGCAAGGAGAGATCCTGGGGTCTCTGTCCTACAAGAAAGACAAGGGTTATCTTGGGCATTGTCTTGGCACATGTGTCACTAGCGCTTTTGCCTCTCTCTTAGTTAGCTGCCTGCAAGGAACGTATTACCATGGTCAGATGGAGCAGTGTGTCCCTTGCCCTCCAGGGACCTACCAGGAGAAAGAAGGCCAGCTCTCCTGTGACCTTTGCCCTGGAAGTGATGCTTATGGGCCAGCTGGAGCAACAAATATAAGCGCCTGTGCAGGTACAGGGATGAGCTGCAAGGTACTCTAAACCTATAGCTGAGGTCCAATATCCTAGGACACTTGATAACCCGTCCCAGAGTAGCCAACAGTAGCTCTCGGAACTAGAATGAATTAGTGGCCACAGCAAAGGGAATGGAATTGATAACACCCACACAAAAATAGTACTGCAGTGATACCTGCACTTTCCCTTCCACACCAAAGAATGGCAACTAGTTCATATGTATTGGCCCTAAACACAACATTTACAAGAGGCCTAGGATGGTGGTTTTGTATGTAAGTAACTGGCATGGTAGCCACTTCCAGCTTTGATTCACTACTGCACCCTTCGCACAACCCTTTGCACAACCTCCAGATGTTGGGGCTACAATTCCCTTCATCCTTCACCACTGGCTGAGCTGATGGGAACTATAGATAAAATATCTGGAGGAGAAGGCTGACTACAGCAGTATCTCAGTGTTTCCTCAGAAAAGGGCCCCAAAGATAGCTGCCAGATTGTGCACAAGATGCTTTACTTCCCCTCTAGCATTCCTCCTGCCCTGTCACTCTGGAGCCAGTTCCACTTTGAAGTACAGAAAAAGCTACAGAGGCTACAGCTGCTCATATGTTCTAAACTGTTTCCTAATTCCCCAACTAATGACAGGAAAACAGCTGTTGCCATTGATTGCACTCAGAAGTAGGGCAAGACGGGCAGCTCGGAGGTGCACCTATTATTGCCGTGCCTGGCGGTTACTCTTAAATGGCAAACTTTATTTAACATAATTTGTTAAATAAAGAATCTGGGTTTGTGAAGCTGCAGCCACGGGGTAGTTCAGATTCATTTCTTCCAAATCTGTTTACGTATTTATTTTGGGGAAATTCTTCACATCCAGGACTTGGATAAATGGATCCGATTGTGGCGTTTCTCCTTCATACCATGGGCATTATCACATTCCAGTACAGAGGCAGAAAGGTTGCCCTAGGCAATTTCTGGGATGGCCAGCGGTTCTCATGGTGCTCTCCCATGGCTCAGTTATATTATAGTGCATGTTGCATGCTGCTGGTACATTAGAAGCAATGTGTATAGGGAGTCAATACTTAATCTGGACCAATGAGTATCTCTTTTCTCCTGCATGGCCCACAGGTCAGTGCCCCCCCGGCCAGTACTCTGTAGACGGTTTCAAACCCTGCCAGCCATGTCCACGTGGCACCTACCAACCTGAAGCAGGCCGAGCTTTGTGCTTCCACTGTGGCGGGGGACTGAACACTAAGCATGATGGAGCTTTCTCCTTCCAGGACTGTGATACCAAAGGTATGCTTGGGGCAACAGCACTGTATAAGACAGGGATGAGGAACCTCAGGCTTGGGGACCAGATGTGGCCCTCCAGACCTCTCTGTTTGGCCCTCGGGCCTCTCCCTATGCCGCATCTCTCACTGCCCTGAATTGCACTCAGTTTGAGTGTTTTTGCCTGGCTGGAACAAGTCCTTGAACTCTGGTAATGTGTCTTCCTTGACTGGATGGAAGACAAAGAGGTGTGTGTAAAGAAACCAGCTTAGAATAAATCATGCTAGTGCTTCAGAATGTTCAGTAACCCACCAGGAAGTCCCTGGTTGAATCTTGCCTTTGGCATGAACTCACCAGGTGGCCTAAAGCAAGCTACCGTTAGCCCCAGCCCTTCCTATCTGCAATATGGGGGTTATAATGCTGACTGGGACGCGGGTGGCGCTGTGGGTAAAAGCCTCAGCGCCTAGGGCTTGCCGATTGAAAGGTCAGCGGTTCGAATCCCCGCGGCGGGGTGCGCTCCCGTTGCTCGGTCCCAGCGCCTGCCAATCTAGCAGTTCGAAAGCACCTTCCGGGTGCAAGTAGATAAATAGGGACTGCTTACTAGCGGGAAGGTAAACGGCGTTTCCGTGTGCGGCTCTGGCTCGCCAGAGCAGCTTCGTCACGCTGGCCACGTGACCCGGAAGTGTCTCCGGACAGCGCTGGCCCCCGGCCTATAGAGTGAGATGGGCGCACAACCCTAGAGTCTGTCAAGACTGGCCCGTATGGGCAGGGGTACCTTTACCTTTACCTTTATAATGCTGACTGACCTTTCAGGATTGTTCTGAACATTACAACTACATAGCCTATGGGAAGTACTTTGGACACTTAAAAGTGCCGTACAAATTTTTAAGTATTATATTAATATCAATATGGTAATAAATGGAATCCCTGTATTACAAGGGATTCCATATGTCAGATGGTAAAAAAAGCATATTTAGGACTAATGTACATTTTGTCAGGAGGCAGAAAGAGAGGTTAGAATCATAGACTCATAGAGCTGGAAGGGACCACAAGGGTTATCTAGTCCAACCCCCTGCAATGAAGGAATATTTTTGTTCAGTGTGGGGCTTGAAGCCACGACCCTGAGATTAAGAGTCTCATGCTCTGCCGACTGAGCTATCCATGTTCAGCCACTGTTACTATGCAACTTAGGGCTCCTGCTCAATTTGCCTTGCATCCTTTCAGTGATATTCATCAAGCCTTCTTGCACAATTACAGAAAGCAATGTTACCAGCAAATTAACTGCCCCAAATAGCTTTTCATTTACATGAATGCTTGCTGGTCTTGTATTATTTTGGCAGTCTCTGACACTTTTCTCTTCTCTTCAATGTATAGTTCAATGTTCCCCGGGCCATTATTATAACACCAGCGTCCACCGCTGCATCCGCTGTGCCGTAGGCACTTACCAACCTGACTTCCGCCAGAACTACTGCATCACATGCCCTGGGAATACCACCACAGACTTTGATGGCTCAACCTCTGTGTCACAATGCAAAAGTATGCTTTGTTCTCTGCAGACTGCACGTAACAGAATTCATTTGCTGAAATTATCTCTGTTTCATTAGCTTCCTATTGGTTTTCCTTATGCATGCAATAGTAAAGTTTATGGGCCTATCTGTACCTGTGTTTACACACAACCCTTATATAGCAACACTGGCATAGATTTGTGTCACATCTGGTGCTTATATAGTGCCAAGACCCCGTGTCCCAGGTCTCCCTTGGCAACCAATCAGGTTCTGCTTCCCAGATAACATCCTAGTGATCCCTGCATGTTTTGTTGCAGACCGTCAATGTGGAGGGGAGTTGGGAGAGTACACTGGTTATATTGAGTCTCCCAACTACCCTGGAAACTACCCTGCAAATGTGGAGTGTACTTGGAATATCAACCCACCGCCAAAGCGCAAGATTCTCATTGTGGTGCCTGAAATCTTCCTGCCGTCTGAGGATGAATGTGGGGATGTCCTGGTCATGCGGAAAAACTGTAGGTAACCAAATGCTGTGTAGGGGCCATGCAAAAAGGGCAGTGTGGCGATGGGGACTGGCCTAGGTTTCCTCTGCAATTTCTGGACTATGGAAACCTAAGGAGCTATGGAGACTTTGTCTCCCTGCCAGCATGAATAAGTGATCAAACCAAGTGATTTGTGTGCCTGCCCCTGACTTGATGGAGAGACAGGATGGCAGTTCCATGACTGGGGACCAAGCCAGTGCAAGCAGCTTTGTAGGTCAGCTGAACTGCTTCCTGCAATGCCATCCCCTGGTGGTGCTGCAGAGTAGTAATGAGTAGGCGAGGGCTCATAGTGTGCAAAGTGCTTGCATTCTGCTGCTGGAGATTCTGTTTGAGACTTCTGGTGGCTTACAGTGCTGACACCTACAGGATATTGGGGCAGCTGCAAATACCTGATGTATCCTGGATTAAGTGAAGCAGATTATACCCTTGAACTGAGAATGCAGAAAAAGTGATTCTAAAAATCAGGTGTACAATATATGCTTTGAGCAGTCCCTGAACTAACATCACAGTAAGGGTGTAGCCTGCACAGCCCTCACTGATCTTACAGCTCCGTTGTCTCTGTCAGCCATGCTGATGGACTTGGGACCATTGTATATTTTCCTCCCTGCATCCATCAATATGGCTCTTGTGGGGATCTCTGGAGCAGTTTCCCCATCTTGGGCATGGGAAACCTCCAGTCTTTGAGCCGAATTAGAACCAGCAGGGGTCCACATTTGGCCCATGAGGGCATTTCCTCCAAACTATGCTCACCTGATATCAGATGTGGGGCAAGTAAGGATGTGGCTGTGAAGGAACAGTCATGAATTTGAAGTCTGCTCTTGATTGTTCCATTGCAAATGGGGCTAGCTGACAGCATAGATCAGTGTTGACAGTGAACCCCACTGGGATCAAGTGCACTAGGAAGTTCCTGATACTGGAGCCAAGGGGACTCGCTGTCAGCACTGACCTGTTGGAACACATGCTTTCAGCACCAGCCAGCTAATTGGCACCTAAAGTGCCCCTCCAAAGGGGCTTGCTGCAGTTCCCACTTTGAATCCAAACCATGCCAGCAAAGGGGCAAAGTAGAGAACCCGTTTGAAGGCATGCTGCCAGCACAAGTCAGCTGACTTTGAATTTGTCACCTGGCAGCATACAGAAATCAGATGACTGACAGGTGAGTGGACTCACCCACCTGTCAAAGTAGCCCGTGGAGTAGATGGCAGGGGGTAGGTCAGGATCTGGTCCGCTAGCCAGGAGTTTCTCCACCCCTGCCCTAGATGGTGCACCACATTTGGCTCCGCAAGCTCTCTCTTTCCTGATGTCTCTTCTGCTTGCTTTACCACTAAGCAAATGAATCTGCACTTCTTTACTTCTGCCTCACCACCCCTGAAAAGGAAAGTTGCCTTCAGTAGTTAAGCTGCCAAACGGCATTAGGCTATCCTCAAAGTTTATAACCTTGGAAAGGAAAACACACTCATTTTTGTCTCGCAGATGTTAGGACTTCAGCAAAGGTGTGAGGCAAAGGAAGCAGGAAGAGCTTTGCTTAGATTTCAGCGGTGTTTTCCTTTTTGCTCAGCCTTCCTAGATCTTTTAATGGAGTTTATCTTGGGATGTGAGATCTGGGTGATTCCACACAACACATGGTCCTGTTCTGTTCTGCCTTGCAGCATCTCCTTCCTCCATCACCACCTATGAGACATGCCAGACTTATGAGAGACCCATCGCCTTCACTGCAAGGTCCCGGAAGCTGTGGATCAACTTTAAAACTAGTGAAGCCAACAGTGCCAGAGGCTTCCAGATACCATACGTCACCTATGATGGTAAGAGAAAGAAAGGACTGCAGGTGAATGAAGGGCAAATACCTAGAGGATGAAGTGGGGCTGTAACCTCCTGCTTCTAATGCTACACTGTCCCCACTCCTCAGAGACCATGCACTAAGCCTTCCTTGCCAAGAGAAGGCAAGGCACATACAACTCTTTGTTCATAGGCTTCTGCAGGTGTCTGTGCTCAATGCATGGGCTTTAGGAATCAAGGCTAGCATGATGTCTGGGGCAGTGCTAGGAGGCATAGCCCCTCTGCATCCTCCATGTGCTTGCCCTACATATGGATGAGCATCTGCATAGGACGAGCGTTTTGAGGCCAGTGAATGGTTAAGAATGGGGGCATGGTCTGAGGTGCTACTCCCCCCTTCTGCATTCTGATTCGCATGCAAAACCTCTATATGGTTGGATGGCACAGCCTCTCCTCCTCCTCCTCTGCTGTTGCCTTTTCTTCCCTCTCCCATCTGAGTCCATGATGTTGCTCCCTTCATCTCTTTCTCTTTCTGACCTGGATTGCAGGTCTGAGGGAGGGAAGAATGAGGCGAGTCCCTTGAACAGTCTCCCTGACCTGTGGTCACTTGCAAACTCAGAGCCAGTGTTTGGCTGCCCTCCTTTGTACACCCCAAGCCAGTGAGCCGTTTTAGAATGTGGAATTGGGTCAGAATTAGGGGGGAAATAAAGGAGCTAATTCAAAGAAAGAGCATTAAAGCAGCTTTGTGCAGCATCAAATTCCTTTTACCATTGTTTGTAGGTACGTGTTTCTTTCAAATAATAGCAGGTGTGTTAATCCCTTGCTTTTTCTCCCTCGTTATCCCTCCCACTTCCTTTCTCAACAATGTAGAGGATTATGAACAGCTCGTGGAGGATATTGTACGGGATGGCAGGCTATATGCTTCTGAAAACCATCAGGAAATACTGAAGGTGAGGCTGCCTTTTTTTGTTTTGTTATTGGGGTAATAGAGCATGTGCTAATAGAGCATGCATATGATTCCTGCCCAGGCATCTCCTATTGAAAAAGGATCCCTGACAGAAGGACTAGGAATGCTTATGTGACTTGTCCTTGGAGAGCTCCTTGCAGAGGGTGGGGAAACATTGAATTGATGATATAAAGGGCCAACTACACATTATGTTACATGTGCACTTTAAAGGTCATAGGTCCCTCGAAAGCCATCTACAGTCGTACCTTGGTTTTTGAACAGCTTAGTTCTCGAATGTTTTGGCTTCCGTACGCTGCAAACCCAGAAGTGACTGTTCCGGTTTGCAAACTATTTTTGGAAGCCGAACGTCTAAGAGGGCTCCCGTGGCTTCTGATTGGCTGCAGGAGCTTCCTGCAGCCAATCAGAAGCCGCGCTTTGGTTTCCAAACATTTTGGAAGTCAAACGAACTTCTGGAATGGATTCTGTTTGACTTCCAAGGTACGACTGGATTCTAGTCCCTATAGTGGGAGAGCAATGATTGAGTAGCAGTAGGAGCTATCTGTCTGCAAGCAGCCCCTGTGGAGTTCTGCAGTGTGTGCTACACACCCTTGCTCCTAAAGTTAACATGTCCATTCTGTTTGTTTTCCCTGCAGGACAAGAAGCTGATCAAAGCTTTCTTTGATGTGCTGGCTCACCCACAAAACTACTTCAAATACACAGAGAAACACAAGGAAATGCTCCCACGATCCTTTATCAAACTCCTCCGGTCCAAAGTTTCCAGCTTTCTCAGGCCTTACAAATAGCCTTGTGACACTTTTCACCAGCCTTCCAGGCTCCTCGACAGCCAAGAAAACTTTTTCTTACACTTAATTCTTATTTTTCAATGACTTTTTCCTACGAATACAAACCCCATTTTCTCACTATGCAGATGACTCTAACCATTGGTCTTCCCTTGGCTTTTCTCCAAACCAAATTCACTGATGACATTGCCCTTGGAAGAAGCAGCTGGCAACCATCCCCTGAGCTTTCCATACTGGAGTCTCAGCCCATGGAGTTCACATATCCCAGTAAGTGATACACTCTTCACAAGTGGCCTTTACTGGGACCTGTAACTCCAGGGCAGTTTCCGCCTTCTCCCATATATGCAAATTATGTACGGCCCCTTCTGCTGCAAGGCAGCTGCCAAAGAGGCTGTTTGTACATCTCTCTGCACACGATTGTCTGCTTCTAGATAGAAACACCCCTGCTACCATATCATGCTCCACTCCTGGGACACAGAAGAAACGGGGAGACATTGAGCAGCTTCTAAGCAGTGGAACCGGTCCAGCTGAACTCTTTCATAAAGAATTGGGGGCAAAGGGCACCCAGAATGCGGAAGGTTATGCCTTATTTATCAGACTGTTGGGGGGGGGGGTTAAGAGAAAAATAAACCAAGCACAGTCTTGCAGAGAGGATCAGACAAAATAAAGCGTAAGGTGTGGGGAGGAAGATCATGTAAAAGAAAAAGACGTATCACAGAAGTGTGAAAGTAAATCGCCCATGTTCGTGATGGCAAGTTTGGTGACTTAAGAGCATCGTTTCGTGATGGAGTCTTGACTTTTTGCATTCAGAGAAAACATTGGCCTAGCCACAATCTCACATGGAATGATGTCTGGAAAAAGGGGAAGAAAACATGGTAAAAAGTGAGACTTTCCAATGTGATTTCTCCCCCATGGAGACTGGTGCTGAGAGATCAGACTTCTTATAAGCTCTGCCAAAGAGTAACTCAATGACACACAAAAAAAGCAAGCAGTGTGAAGGGCAGGAGTGAGTGAATGTTTGTGCACTAGGACGTTCTCCTTTCTACCTTTTTCATATTATTAAGTGCAATCATTTTTGAGTTGTCTTTATATTATTTAGAGGGAAGTTTTTTTTCTCCTAGAAACTACAATATTTATACCTGCCTGAGAAAAGAGAATGTGTGTGTGTTTGTGTGCGTGTGCGTGCATGTGTTAAAATGAAACAGAAATGAATACAGACAAGGATTTGGGGAAATGGTGACTAAATGTGACGTAAGTTTTCAGCTCTTGGAATCTTTTGTTTTTCCTCACCACAGTAAATTCCAATGTAAATCCTGAAGATCAAGCTCCTTCATGTAACCAATGAAAGGGACACAGGACTTGCGCAGAATATTTCTAGTGACTTGGAAATTACCTTTTGGCCACAAGCAGCTCTTGAGAGTAAATTCAAATCAATATCAAGAATGCATATTAGGGATCACATACTGGAATGCATCCCAGTGTTAAAGTCTTCTAGCATTTGCAAAGTGTCATCTAACCTTCACTCTTTCTGACAAGTTAGCTTTGCACGGGCAGGGAGGTTTTGATATATTTGAACCTGAGGTTCCCCATTTAGATATTGAGGTGGTATAGTTCATTTTCTGAATGTTTCAGTAGAGGTGCTGGGGCTCAAGTTTCCTGGGAATTTGCATCGTCCACCTGAAGGCTCTTTCCCCTAAACTCAGAGCTGTAGCCATGAATTCTCAGTGAGAAGGGGATGCTCTCTGCCCCTGCTCAGAGGCACTGTAGTCTTCCCTTTTTCAAAGCCTGAGTTCAGCACTGAACTCAGGTTTTGAGATGAGCTGTTGTGAATCCTAACTTGAAAACTGAAGTATACCATTGTCAGTTTAATTCTTCCCTATGTAAGGTCACTTGTCAGTCACTGATCCATAATCCAGTGCAAATACTAGTGATGAAATCCCAACTTCTATGGGTGAAATTGTTGCCTTCTCTGAGCCATGACCTGAAACTAACAATTGGAAATGTGTCTTAAAAAGCTGCGAGGCTGCACTTGGATCAGATCATCTCTGTTTCCTGTAGTGGTATTGAAGCTTTTCTGCCTGAGTGTTAATAGTTTGCTTTTCTTCTCTTTTGGATCCAGAATCGGAATTTGCCCCATTAAGGTAAAGGTAAAGGTACCCCTGCCCGTACGGGCCAGTCTTGACAGACTCTAGGGTTGTGCGCCCATCTCACTCTATAGGCCGGGGGCCAGCGCTGTCCGGAGACACTTCCGGGTCACGTGGCCAGCGTGACATCGCTGCTCTGGCGAGCCAGAGCCGCACACGGAAACGCCGTTTACCTTCCCGCTAGTAAGCGTCCCTATTTATCTACTTGCACCCGGGGGTGCTTTCGAACTGCTAGGTTGGCAGGCGCTGGGACCGAGCAGCGGGAGCGCACCCCGCAGCAGGGATTCGAACTGCCGACCATGCGATCGGCAAGTCCTAGGCGCTGAGGTTTTACCCACAGCGCCACCCGCGTCCCCATTAAATTTACTCTAATCATCTCAGCATTGAAGTTGAATTGCCTCTGATGTGAACATTTTTGCAGTACTTCAGCAGGACATATGGCATCATAGTAACACCTAAGAATTCATATCTGGCTCTGGTGTCATCATATTCAGCAATTTCTTATGGCATATAAGCATTTGTTTATCTGGGGAGGGGAGGGGGAGATGCTCAAGTCCAATTGCTTACTGTAGGCAAAAGTACAAGGCCAGCTCTGAAGGAAAAATTTGAATTGAATTTGGCTTTGAAATTCTACCTGTTTTCCTTCTAGCTAGAGCCCTTCTTTCCATTCTATCCTTAATGAAATGTAGAAAATCTAAAGGTTTGAAAAGCTGAAAATTCCATCTCAACATAGGAAATATAACAATTTAAAACAACAAAGCTGAAATATTTATAATTGCATTGTGCAGTAATCCACAGTCCAGTATCTCCTATAAAGTAATGATTAAATGATGAAAAAGGTGTAGTCCATAAAGTTATTTGCACTTGATAAAAGAAATTGTATCTGAACTTGTAAAAAGAAAAGTTTGCATTTCATATTGTCTTTTTTTTAATTATTAAATGGAATTTCTTGGTGTTGTGTTGATCTTTCAGAAGTGCTTTCCACTGCTCTTATTTGTAAATTCCAAATTCATAGCATTGCTACTGCTTAGGGTTTTGTTCTGTTCCTTTCTCTCTCTTTCATTCCCCTCTGGAAACTGACTGGTTTTGGCACTACAGTGGTACCTCATGTTACGTATGCTTCAGGTTACATATGCTTCAGGTTACAGACTCCGCTAACCCAGAAATAGTACCTTGGTTAAGAACTTTGCTTCAGGATAAGAACAGAAATCATGCTCCGGCGGCGCAGCGGCAGCAGGAGGCCCCATTAGCTAAAGTGGTACTTCAGGTTAAGAACAGTTTCAGGTTAAGAACAGACCTCTGGAACGAATTAAGTACTTAACCTGAGGTACCACTGTATAAGGCTTTAAGATACCAAGAGTTCTTTGAGCTTCAAAACCTCAAAAAAAATTGAGTATTTTGGTATGGCTCATAATTATGCCAGATGAAGTAAAATAAAGCCTAATTGGTATTTTTGCAACCTTAAAAAGGTAAAGGACCCCTGACAGTTGAGTCCAATTGCAAACGACTCTGGGGTTACGGTGCTCATCTCACTTTACTGGCTAAGGGAACCTTAGTTTGCTTTAAAACTTGGGCTAATAGCAAAGAGGACCATACCCAGAATGGATCCTGTTAGGATAGGAGCTTAGAATTACTGTTGCTTGCACATCGTTGTTGCTGTCCTTGCATGTAGTGCTGATCCTGCTAGTATATTTTGATTAGTGGCAGGCAGTCCACAGACACAGCTGATGTCTGGCTTTTTGATGCGCAGCATATATACACACCAATCATCCACAAAAGCACTATTACAATCTTTGGAGAAATGAACCATTTGCCAGTATTTTTAGCAACTAATGGTCCCTATCAATAAAAGAATAAAAGGGTGAAACTAGATGTTATGGAGAAGGGGTTCTTCAACTTTCTATTCCCAATGTTCACCTGAGACAGCTGAAAATGCCTGAGGCTCGCTTGCCACAAAATGGTGTAGGGGCAGAGCCAGTCAAAAATTGGAGGCAGTGTCTGGCAAGTCAGCTGGAAATTAGACATCGCTTTCTTTCTTCTTTGTCAGGTCAAAGGAGTTGCATAAGTAAGATGACCTCAGGAGGCTCTAGCTCAGGCTTCCTCAAATTCAGCCCTCCAGATGTTTTGAGACTACAATTCCCATCATCCCTGACCACTGGTCCTGCTTAGATAGGGATCATGGGAGTTGTAGGTAAAAAACATCTGGAGGGCCGAGTTTGAGGAAGCCTGCTCTAGCGGAAGAAGCCTTTTTCTTTTGTATTTTTCCCTTCCCACCCCCACGTGCCTCCCAGAGAATTTTTGCCCATCTTCTTAATTTCTTCTCCCATTTTCCAACATCCTGTGTCTTGCACTGGCACAAGCAGGTCAAGGGAGCCGTAGCCTATCCCGCAATGTTCCGCAGCAGCTGGCATTTAGAGGAATCCCACCAGTGATCCTGGGTGTACCATAAAGACATCATGACTAGTAGCCATCAAGAAAAAAACAAAATAAAAGGTCTGGGGAAACAATGGGGCTGTGTGTGGAAGAGAAAGATGGTTTTTCTAATGCTTGACACAGGGTTCATTTAAAGGGCTGGAAAAGAGCTCCACCACTTTAATCAGAGCTGTCTCCAGGATTTGGGGGGCGGGGGCTGTTGGTTCTGGTACCCTCAACAGAGCACTCCCTAACTTGAAAAGGTGGAACATGCTGAGAATTCTTTTAAGCTGTGCCTGATCTTTTTGCATATTCTGTGTACAGTGAAATGGTAGCACTGTTAAGACCATGGGTAGGCAAACTAAGGCCCAGGGGCCAGATGCGGCCCAATCGCCTTCTCAATCTGGCCCGTGGACGGTCCTGGAATCAGCATTTTTACATGAGTAGAATGTGTCCTTTTATTTTAAATGCATCTCTGGGTTATTTGTGGGGTACAGGAATTCATTCATTTTTTTTCTTCAAAATATAGTCCGGCCCCCCCACAAGGTCTGAGGGATGGTGGACCGGCTGAAAAAAATTGCTGACCCCTGGTTAAGACACTACAAGTGGTTTGTAGTGAGGTTTACAGTGAGGAAAGCGCTCTTTCAGTAGAATAAATGAGTCCTAAAAGCTACACAAAACAGTACATGCATGGAAAGAGAGGGGAGTAGAGCCACTTGTCACCAGTGGCACTTATCTCATGAGTGCCCATGGCACTTAGAATTGTAGTTCGAAAGGACCCCAAAGGGTAATCTAGTCCAACCCCCTGCAATGCAGGAATCTCAGCTCAAGCTTGACTGATTATAGTCCACCATACAGCTCTCTCAAAAAATAAATGTCATTTGGGAAGGAAAATCGAATTTTTCCAACAAAAATACTTTGTGGCTTGAAGAAGATTTCTTTGCAACACAATCACTATCTTAAAACTAAGCCCAGGGCTGAGCGCTGAGGTGGTCAAACTTCCTGACCGAACCAAATAATTCAGGGTGGTTTAAACAAGAAAGGAATTACCGGTATGAGCTGCTCCAGGGGCATCTTCACCAAATCAGGTAAATGGGCATTAAAATGTGAAATGGCAAATACCTCTTCAATAATTTCTCCTTTAATACCACTTTGCACCATATGATGTGAACTAATTGAAAATAAAATTACAAGAGCAAATTTCTGGTGCGATGTCCACTGGGCGGCCCTAAGGATATATTCTTGCCGTTTGCATTCTACCAAGACAGAGAAACTCGATCTGTGGTTTTCGCCACGTGGCCAGCAGAGGGAGCCGCTCACCCACGACTTGCGCTTCCTTTCGAGGCATCGTTTGTTTTTGTCGCACCTGCAAAGGTGGGTATATAAATAGAAGGAAGGGCAGATGCTTCGCCGGGATATCTGCGCATGCCGAAGAATCCGGGGCATGCGCACTAGCAAGCACCGTGGGGCTTTGCTTTCCTTTTCCGGGATTTGGAAGCGACCTTGGCGGGGCCCCGGAACCTGGATAACAAAAACGACGAGCAGGTTGGCGAAGCTGGATAAAGCTTCGTCATACAGGTTGCAGGGCAGGTGGCTGCGGGCGAGGCCTGGTGCATGGCGGTCAGGCGGCGGACTCGGCCCTCCACAGGTCGGTGCCGGCAGGGAGGCGGGGATGAGATGGGGAGATGCTCATGTGGGGGGGTGGATTTCCATCTGCTCCGCCGATACGCTGCACCCTGGGAGAGAAAGAGGGGGTGCCCCCCGGGTCCCCTCCACCAGCAGAGTCCCCATTGCCCCCTCCTACGTCCCAGAGCCCTCCTTTTTTGCACGGCTTACCCCTCAGGTTCCTGCCCCGCTTTCTTTTTCCCCCTTCCCGGACGCCTTGCAACAGCTGCTTGGCAGGCAGAAATTCGAGTGGAGATCTCCCCGACTGTGTGGGGCAGCTGTACCTGTTGGGTTTCTGCCTGCCTAAATCAGAGGAGCTCTTTCTCCATGGAGGGGACTATAGATGGGCACCCCTTTCCAACTCTACCATTCTGTGGGGAAAGGTGGCTGGCTCCCTTTTCTGGGAGGGCTCTTGCGTGCAGGCAGAGACGAAGTGACCTGATCATTTCCCATCAAGCGTGCTGCGTGCTGGCAAAATGTATGGCCAGGAAAAGAAAAGAGAAAAGCGACCACAGATGGTTTTCTGTGGAATATCTCCCAGCTCCTTTCCCGATTGGTAAAATCTCTCCCAGTTCAGAATCCCTCACCTACATGGAGCCCCAGTTATATCTCCTCAATCCAAATGCTAACACTTCATCCGTGATTTAGGTTTGGTTGCTGAACCCTCATCTATAACCCTCGGTCTGATAATGTACAATACCATTTGTACCACAAGACCCCTGCTAGTAAAATTTTAGAGAATACATTGGTCAACAGAATTTACCAAAATCAGTGCTGTCATTTCTCTCCTAAAGCTTTTCGCAAAAAAGTAAAGCTTCCTTACAAGTTCTGTTGATCTTATTGTATGTTTAAGCAAAGAATATGGAATGATGCCCTTCAGGAGGTTACTTAGTAAATGCCAGCTATTTTCCTGGCAACAGGAAAGGGGAGAGGAACACAAATGTATAAAAAGCGCAAAAAAAAAAAAAGTTTCTGTAGCTCCATGGCAGATCATGCAGAATGTCCTAGGTTCAATCAATATATCGCATCACCATATAGGCCTGGGAAAGACCTCAGCCCCGAAACCCATGGAGAGCCACTGCCAGTCAATTTAGAAAATCCACAGCGAGATTGTCAAGACTCCATAAGGCAGCTTTTTGTGTCCCAAATTATGGAACAGTAACAGAAAGGAGACTACTTGCAATGCTAGCCTGAGTTTCTTCCAGTTGTATGACTAAAGTTTCACCACAGGAGGTGGCGGGGTAGTTGAAAGGGCTTAATTGACCAGATTCAGTTTGCAGACTGCCAGTTTATCACTCCAGACTGAAGTTGGTGCTATGCAGTTATTGTCTTTCATGGGTCTAAGGGTGTAGTTGTGCCAGTTTATGGACCAAGAGATTTTGACAAGTCAGTAAAGCTGCAGTCTCATATTTACAACATTGGCAAGCCAGATATCTTTGGGGAAAACCACAAGTAGGACATGAAGCCAACAGTACTCCCCTGTTATTTGACCCGTATCAGAGGTAGGCTGCCTCCGAACATGGAGATTTGTCATGATGAATAGCCTTTGGTAGACTTACATTCTAATCCTGTCCAAAGAATTCTATTCAGATTACTTTTTATATAAATGTGAAGAAGAAATTTATATATAACTTGCTGTTTATGTTTTAGTTCTAATATGGAGAACCATCTTATATGTGGAATACATGTCTAAGGAGCCACCACCAGAGCACAATGGAGAGCTTTGGCTTACAGGCAATGACCCTTTCTGATGGAACAACAGCCTATGTTCAGCAAGATGCTAATGGTGAGTAACTTTGGTGCTGTAGTGGCTGCCTTCTTGTGGCTGGTGAGATTGGGACTGATCCAACCATATGATTAATGTTCAAAGCACTACACATGCAGGAAGATATTTGGACGTATACACTAGGTTAAAATATTTTGTTGGACAAAATTATAGTGGACAAATTGTTTTTATCTTTAATTTATTTAAATTGAAAAACATGAACAGAGTAGAGTTTAATGTGGTTTTAATGGTGAGCGTTTAGAAAGAAGAATGTGATCTGTGAGTCCTGATTGACCACAGTATGTGTTTGAATGACCAATATGGTACAGATGCAACAAACAAAGCAATTCGACATCAAACTGCCACACTGAATTGGATGGATATATGCTAGAGAAGCAAGAGTGGAGTAAAAATGTTCAATTTTAAGGATGTCTCAGTTGGAATGTGGTTTCTGACTAAGTGATTATAAAGTGTTTCTAAAGGAATCTCTATTTAACCAAATGAGGGAAAGGAGAACTCTCATTTCCTTGTTTAAAACCATTGCAATATCTTTTTTAAATGATGTGCATAATTGATTGCAAAAGGCTATTGGCAGAAGAGTTCTGATTTTTATTTTTTTTAAAGTAATGTTTGGGTTTCTCTATATTTACTGACATGCCAATTCTTGTACCCAAATAGCTTATGGCCATGGTTGCAGTTTTATATATACATACCTGGGCATAAGTCTCATATAACTCATTAAGACTTATTTCTGAGACAATATACTTAGATTGCACTGTGAGGCTGCAGTTCAATTCATGTTGCTTTTGAAATTACCTTGCTTCTGAATAAACATGCAAAGGCTGAGCTTCTGAAAAGCACTTTGATTTGTAATTATTTTCCTTGATAAGAGATTGTCAGGTGAGCCTGGATGAACATGTTGAATCTTGTTAACCTGGAGGGCTTTTTCAATGCTGTAACAAATTCTCTTGTCATCTGTTTCAGGAGAGAAGTTAATTGAAGGGCAAGTGATTGAACTTGAAGATGGATCCACAGCTTTTGTCCAACAAGTAACATTGCAGAAAGGTTAGGAGTAATAGATGTATAGCTATTTCAGAAATTTGGGGAGCTTTCACTGCTTTTTTCTGTTTGCAGTTTTCTCTGTGAGTGAACCTCTTGTGAAATTTGCACCAAGCAGTAGTGCACTTCTCACAGTTAGAGATGCCTATTTCAGGTTGAAACTGTAAATCAGCAGGAGGCACAAACTCATGTAGAGCAGATAAAATGTGCTGGATTTCAACAGGGCTGCTAATTAGTAAATTTGCCTAAGGGCATCCGTTTTGGACCTACTTGATATTAATCTTCCGCAAGAATAATATTTTGTGTGTAAGCTGCTGTAGCATTGCAGTGCAATCCTGTTCATGGTTACTTAGAACTGAGATTCATTGAGTTCAGTGGGCTAACTCCCATTTTGGTGTGCCTAGAGTTGCAATCCTATTCATATTGTCGGGGTACATACCATTGTTTCCTTGAGAAAACATGCATAGAATTGAGCTGTTAGTTTGATTGAATATACATCACAACTTAAATACTCCGAATTTCTTATCTGAGACCCATGTTGCACATCATGAGGTAGACAGGTTGTAGATTTCAGCTTGTAGGAATCTGGACTGTACTAATTCTGGTTGGAAGCTGTGTGTGGTTTTCCTTTAATGCCCAGAAGGCAGGAGGCTTCTGAATGCTGGAAATTGAAGGAGTGAGTGGTCTTGTCCTCACATCCTGCTTGTAGGCTTCCCATAGACACCTGGTTGGCCACTGTGATAACATAATGCTGGATTAGATGAGCCATTGACCTGATCCGACAATCTATTCTTAAACCTCCATGTAAAAACAGATACCTTGCATGTAGTCATGTTGTAAAGAAGGGAGAAAGGTTCCTCTCCCTGGTGTCATCATTCATCCCATGGAAGAAGCTTTGCAGTGGGAGGAGCACTGAATACTAGCTGTGATAATAGGCTGCATTACTGCCTTTTTATGCAATTAGACTCCCCCCCCCCCCTCGTTTCATTGAACTGACATGGACTGGCTTCTCTTCAAGGATTATAGAGCAAGGGCCCTGTAGGCCTTTGAGCAAACCATAGCTAGAATTCTTGAGTTGTTCTTGTAAAGTCAGCTTTGTTTACTTTCTGTTGCATAACAACCTTACAATGCATGGTGTTTATTTTTGTGTATGTTCTGATTTGTTCTGTAGAGTCCATCACATTTGAAGATGGTCAGCCAGTAGCGTTGGAAGATGGCACTATGGCTTTTATACATCATGCTCCCCAAGGTAACAATCAGTCTTTGAACCTTCCTTTCCACATACTAGGTAAAATAATTCATACACAGTGGGTAGTATTCAATGATAACGAGTCGCTTGATTAAAGTTAATAAATATTACTAAATTCAGTTAATTCATTTCAGTGCATCAACTCTGAGTATAACTTAGTTGAATGCAACCCAGTACTCTAATAAATGTGATCACAGCTGTGTGTGTAGCTATTGGGCTGGACTCAACTTAATTGTTGCACTAGCAGGAGCCAGTGAAACAAGTCCCACTAGCACCATGGGGCTTCATCCTCCCCATATGCCTCCCAGTTGGCTCTGGGGGTTTGGGAAAACTTCAGAACAGTGCATGGGGGGAGGAGATGGGAGCTCATGCTGTCTGGGAAGCAGAAATGCTTGTGCTGACAGAACGATCATAATACTGTGACACTGAATTCCTCCCATAGTCTTTTTAAATTTATACCTCTGTGACTTAGAATATTTATTGTTACCTCACCCTGAGTCAAGGGTGACCTGAAAACAATTCAGGTTAGTGATGAAGAGAGAGAGCTCTGAAGGAAACTCTCGGGGGGGGGGGATCAGATGTGCAGATAGATGGTGTGGCTCTTTGCATCACTGCCAAACCTTAAGTTAGGGAACAGAAAGAGTCAGCAAGCTTAAGAGCTCTGTCCTCCCCTCTCTCAGGATCAATCCTGATTTGGAGAGATAATTGAAGACTACTCCTGACTGGTTTAGATATCATGGTAAATGGTGGTTTAAGGAAACTAGGTAACTTTCTGTTAAGAGTTGGAAGGGCAAGTGCTTGAGCATATCCCTCACTCATGATGCTTCACAGTATGGGAATGTGTTCTGGGAATGTGTTCTGTTTCAGTATCTTATCAAATCCTTTCCCTGTAGCCATACAAAATCGTCCTATCCAGATTGACAAATAACTACCAAGCAAGTAGATTGTTCCTTATTCCTCTGCAAACAATTCAAGGGTGTGTGGAAATCATTCTATGGTGATTGTATAATGATTCCACACAGCTTTTGATTGTGGAATGTGTTTCATGTTGCAATTTTCAGCCATAAATAGAGTTGGATTCTATTGGTGTTTGCAATGATTGAATTTTGAACTGCCGTGAAGATTTTGCCATTGATGCTTTTAACTCTTCATCTTTTTGCCAGCTCTAAATGATCAAGAGGTAGATAAGTAGCAATTAGAGCTGACATGTGCTACTATAGTGTTTGTGGTCCCCTCCAGAGGGTTATGACCCCAACACCTTAGAAGCAATCCAGCTGGAAGATGGATCCACAGCTTTCATTCATCGTCCTGTCTCCCTGTCAGTGGGTAGCACCACACTGACAGTGCAAGCAGATGTGGGACTGGAGGAATTGGCTGTAGGAGAGAAAGATGATTCCTTTGAACTTGATTCCATTACTGCCCTCAAGGACTATGCCAGTAAGGTGAGGATATTATTCTGCTTCTGTGGAAGGTTCAAATCATCCTGCTTTGTGATTCTGCAAACAGAATGAAATACTAAGTTTCTAGAATGATATAAAAGTATTAAATGTATTTATTTGAAGCATTTATATTTTGCCCTCCATCAGTATTAGCCCCCAATACCTGGCACTCGTGGCATCAATTCTCCTTGTCTGGTGACATGACTCCACTTTTAGAGTATGTGTGTTCGTAGCAGATGGAATGGTGACTTGAAGGACTCGTTCAAGCTTAACTTCTTCTTTATGTTGCTTGGCAGGGCTTCCACGAGGAGGAAGTGGAGAGCAATGGGAAGGAACCAAAGGTTCCTGATAGAGTTTACCGCTGTGGTTACAGTGGTTGTAGCCGCCTCTTTACCACATCTCATCATTTGAAGGTAAGTCATCGTTGTAAGCTCACAATGTTGCCTTTTAAAAGCTCTTCTGTACCTATAATGGGAAACCATTGATGCTGTGGAAGAGACAGTAATTCACCAGTGCAAGCTTTAAAAAAAATTCTTTTGGAATAGATTTTAAGAGGCTGGATCTGCTGCAGTGATGTCAGAGGGAGCCTGGGTACAATCCTCTTCTCAGCCTCTATATTTTAAATTTTAATCTGTTTTTGTATTTTCACTTTTTGTACGTTTTAAGGTAATGCTGTATTTTTTTCCTGTTTTTCTTGTTTCACCTTTTTGTAAACAACTTAGCTTTTTCAGTCAAGTGGTGTATACATTTTATGAAATAATTAAAGATAAATATTCCAAATTGGAACCGTCCCATTCAGTTTGCCTGAGCCTTCGCTGTCTTCACAGGTGCATGAGCGGGTTCATACAGGTGATCGTCCATACAGATGTGACTTCTCAAGCTGTGGGAAAACCTTTACTACAGGTAATGTGTGTCAAGAACAAAATATGATCTTGTTCAAGTGGAGTTATGCAGGTCTGAGAAGGAAGATCCAAATGTAGCAAGCTGAGGACTATTGAGCCTAAATGGATAACAAAATTGAACTAAGTGCAAGGTATAGTTCCTGGTGACTCAAGCTACTTAGCTTACACAGAACTTCTAAAAATCAGTGTGCTGCATTTTGGGTAGTCTCTTGGAGTTGCTGTGCTGCTTGCGCCATCTTGCCACGCCGCTAACCTTGCATAACCTTTTCCCTTGCAGGTTATAGCCTGAAGAGTCATGTGAGAACCCACACGGGTGAGAAGCCATACAAGTGTCCAGAAGATTTATGCACCAAAGCCTTCAAGACTTCTGGAGACCTGCAAAAACATATCCGGACACATACCGGTATGTCCCAAAGTGTTTATTATTTTATTTGGGGGCTATCCCAGAGCAGAAATCTAAACCGGGGGAGGGAGGTGAGACAAACCCAAATACTCCAGAAAGAGGCAAAAGGGCTACTAATATTTTTTTTGTCCAGATTCTGTACCAAATAATTCCATAATTTTAATCCAGAATAAATTGTGCAGATTTATATAAGTGTATTTCTATGTATAATTTTTAGTATGAGATTTGCAGGCACCATTTATCAGCTCATTTCCCATGCTCAGCACTTTCCAAGTATAACAGTTAGCTGATTGGCATGCACTTTTTTTTTTTTTTTTGGCCCACATGGTTTGATTTCAAACTGTGTGGGCGAAAATAGGTCACCGAATGTCATGTGACGTGAAGTGACTGATACCCACCTGCCAAACCTGTCCCTCAGGTGTGTGTGGATCCAGCTCCCCACCCCCGATCTAGAATGAGGCACTGTTAAGGTTGTAGCTGCCTAAGGAAAAATGATGGAGGGCCTTTCAAGCTGTCATGCTCATACTAGCTTCACATGCGGCAGTTGGCTCTTTGACACCATAATGAAGATGGAAGACCTCTGCCCAGCCTGGCAAAGTTGCATTCTCACAATTACAGTGTAGATAATTGTGGACTTAAAGGCAAGAGTGTCTTAAAATGTCAGTACTATCGCAGGCTTGCTAAGGGTGCCTTCTCTCTCTTCCCCTGAAGGTGAGAGGCCTTTCAGGTGCCCTTTTGAGGGCTGTGGCCGCTCATTCACCACCTCAAATATACGCAAGGTCCACATCCGGACACACACTGGTGAGCGACCATATATGTGCCCAGAGCACAACTGTGGGAGAGGGTTCACTAGTGCCACCAACTTCAAAAACCACATGAGAATTCATACAGGTAATATTTGTGTATGTGTGTGTGTATCTTAATTTTCATATTTCATTAACGGGAAACACCATACAGGCAATCCTCAGCATGGTATACTTTCACAATCTGTGGGGGTGGTGTCACTTGGTTGAACTTCATTATGTGTAACAGACCATCCCAGTGACACATTACTGCATTGGGGGGATCAACATGGAAACTATACTAGGCTTGCTTGCTTGAACCAGTTGTCATCTGTAAGATGGCCGGTTAAAAGGAAATATGTATTGAACTACTAAAAACCAGTAGAGTGAGATTTGAAGCTCCCTTCCCAATTGCTTAAAGTACTCTTGCAGTGTAATCCTATTCCTTTGTGAAAGTAAACCCCACTACAGTGGTATCTCGGGTTACATACGCTTCAGGTTACATACGCTTCAGGTTACAGACTCCGCTAACCCAGAAATAGTGCTTCAGGTTAAGAACTTTGCTTCAGGATAAGAACAGAAATCGTGCTCCGGCGGCGAGGTGGCAGCAGGAGGCCCCATTAGCTAAAGTGGTGCTTCAGGTTAAGAACAGTTTCAGGTTAAGAACAGACCTCAGGAACGAATTAAGTACTTAACCCGAGGTACCACTGTATATAGGGGACGCGGGTGGCGCTGTGGGTAAAAGCCTCAGCACCTAGGGCTTGCCGATCGAAAGGTCGGCGGTTCGACTCCCTGCGGCAGGGTGCGCTCCCGTTGCTCGGTCCCAGCGCCTGCCAACCTAGCAGTTCGAAAGCACCCCCGGGTGCAAGTAGATAAATAGGGACCGCTTACTAGCGGGAAGGTAAACGGCGTTTCCGTGTGTGGCTCTGGCTCGCCAGAGCAGCTTCGTCACGCTGGCCACGTGACCAGGAAGTGTCTCCGGACAGCGCTGGCCCCCGGCCTCTTGAGTGAGATGGGCGCACAACCCTAGAGTCTGTCAAGACTGGCCCGTACGGGCAGGGGTACCTTTACCTTTACCTTTTACCACTGTATATTCAATGGGGCTTATTACCTAGCAAGTGTGTTTTGGGATTGCAGCCTTTGCTTTATGCCACAAAGTGAGAGATACCCATTCCTTTATATTTCCTCCTTCTTATTTCCCAGGGGAGAAGCCATATGCATGCCTGGTGCCAGGCTGTGGGAAGCGCTTCACTGAATATTCTAGCCTTTACAAACACCATGTGGTTCACACACACTGCAAGCCATACACCTGCAACACCTGCAGCAAAACTTACCGCCAGACCTCTACGTTGGCTATGCACAAGCGCACTGCGCATGGGGAGCTGGAAGCTACAGAAGAGAGTGAACAGGCCCTCTATGAGCAGCAGATGAGAAGTGAGTAGGCACTAGAGTTTTGTGGGAAGCTTCACATCTTGAGTCTATATATTATTGTAGTTTCCTGGCTCATTGCCATGCTTCCTTGTGCTTCCTAGTCCTTAAATCAGGCTTCTTCAACCTTGGCCCTCCACATGTTTTGAGACTACAATTCCCATCATCCCTGACCACTGGTCCTGCTAGCTAGGGATCATGGGAGTTGTAGGCCAGAAAAACATATGGCGGGCCGAGGTTGAGGAAGCCTGCCTTAAATGCTCCCTTCTGTTGTTCCTGCCTTACCTTCAGAGAACATTTCAAGGCCGTTTCAATGCACTCTGCTGCTCAAGTAGAGCACTCTGCTGAATCTCCTTTCCTTGTTCTCCCAGTTGCCACGTTTGATATGCCTTCACTGAAACACCAGTGTATTGTTTCTGTGAAGGTGGAACACGAGGAGGAGCAGGAGGATTGCAGGGCTGTGCCAGTGACTCTCGTATCTCAGGATGGAGCAGAGCAGGTATGGAGTCTGCAGAACTTGAAACTAAATCCACAGAGGTAACAACTCTCCGGTTTTGTTACCTTGGACAGGTCAGATCAGATAATCTTTACCCTGAAAATGCCCTAATCCTAAACATTGGCTATAGTACATCTGCATGCAACATCTACTTAAATCATGTTAGCCCCATCCTTGGTACTTAGTTGGACAAGGGTTCTAATCACACCAGTTTGGGTGAATGAACATTGCAGAGCAGGGTTTTATTTATCTGTTTGTTTCATAAAATACATACACCATACACTTGATTGTAAAATAAGCCCCTCCAAATGGTGAATATCACAGAGCCAGGGATAGCCCTACATTGGACAAAAGATTCCTGCATTGCAAGGGGTTTACTAGATACCCCTCATGGTCCCTTTCAGCACTACTATTCTATTACTCTATTACTATATCTTCCTATTAGTGGTGATGTAGTCCAATTTTTCACCATTTGCGTATGCAAGGAACGTTATGATTTCTGGTGAAGAACATGCCTGTGTGAATGAGCTTTTTGTCACTTGACTACTTCTATTCCCCATGCTCCCAGCCCATGAATCAGCTTGAATCTTTTCTTTTTAATCTGTAGCCTGCAATTTGGCCTGACTGCATTTTCACCTGCTCTTTCCAGGTCCGTCTGTCTCCTGAAGACTTGCAAGTACTTGGCTGTGATATCACCATGCTAACACAGAATGGCACAGCAGTATCAGTACCCCAGGAAGATATTTCAGCAAGTGGTACAAATGTGCTGGCTATGATTGGCGCCGATGGGACTGAAACACATCCAGTATTCATTTCTTCTAAAGCCTTTGACATAGTCTGGGAAAGTGTTTTTTTTTATATATGTAATGGTTGTGCTGATGTGATACTTTTCAGGTTACAATAGTCACTTCTGGGACAAAGGCATCCGAGGATTTGCCCACAGCATCCATCCACCAGCAGCAGCTGACAGTGCTAGCAACAGCAAAGGACACTTATATTGCAGTTCAGGTATTTCATATACACATCTTGCTTTGAGTTTGCAGGCACAGGTGTTTTGGTCATGTTGGAAGAGAGCCTCTTGTCCCCCTCCCCAAGGATGCATACAGGTGATGAGTCTGACCTCATACTGCCTTACCACTATACATCAGATACCACATTTTTAGGGCATTGATTGACACAGAGACCAGCCAATCATGAAACTAACTACTCCTTCTTGGCAGCCCTTGTTTCAGTCACACAAAGCAGGTTTTTAAGTGTAAAAATAACTGAGCACCAAATAAATATTTGAGCAGAGAACAATGCAGGCTCTTGAAAAGCTAATCAAACGGGACAGCCAGTCTGAAGCATCAGGTGAAGGAGCAACTATTAAAATTCAGTTTGAAACCAGGTACTTGTGTTCTTTGAGGAGTGAAGTGGGAGACCAGACACTTTTTTAAAAAAAAAACTTGGTAACTTCCTTCTGGGTTTCAGACTTCTTTGTTCCCCATCAATTACAATAAGGAGAAATTGCCTTTGTTGTGAATTTTTTGTAGAATGTTTAGGGATTTTAAAGACCACAAAAAATACTCTATTCTTTTCATCTTGTGATTTTAGGATTTACAAAGAACACATTAATTGTCATACAGAGCAATATTACTGTATTGGTCTGAATATAGATTACACTTTCCCCCAAAATCTGGCTTGTATAAAACCTGAGTGCAGCCTATAATCACACTCTTACAGGTAAGGAACCTATGACTTCAGAGATCTCATTTTAGGGCTGTGATCTCTTTCAGGGGCAGCTTATATTCAGTCCAGTACCATAAGTAGCTGTCCCTTGTAAGCACATAAAGAGTAGTGTCATTGATAGCACAATCTGATGCAGAAGTCAGTCCATTGAGTTAAATGGGGTTTACTCCCAGGTAACTCTGTATAACAGCAGTAGGGACCCTTTGGCCCTGCACCAGGTTTGGTCCACCAGGGGGTCCAATTTGGCCTGTGATTTCCCCCCAATCATGCCTATCAGCTTATGCCGTTGGTAACATCATCTGATGGATGGAAGGACAGGCTTTAATTCTTCATTGGCTAAGCACCCAATTTCCGGCAGGGAACAGGATTGTGCAGCGGGATTGCTTATCATTTGAAAGGCATTAAAGTCCTTTGCCTTCTACTTTAAGTGAGCTGGGGAGGGGGCATCTTAAAGCTGAAAAGGGCTCTTTGAAGCAGCATCTCCACTTCCATTAAACAGTTTAAAAAACATAGGGAGGCTGCTTCAAAGAGTACTTTGACAAAGCTTTTTAAGAGGCTCAGTGCACAAGGGCTGTCTTAAAATTGCAAAGTACCATTTGAAGCAGCTCCCCAAAACCACATTTTAAACACGACTTTTAATAGAAAAGGGTGAGGCTGCTTCGAATACAGGTTTTTCAAAGGCTTTAAGATAGCCCCTTGTGGTCTTGCTTGAGCCTCTAGGGGCATCAGGGGTTTGAAGGGGGAGCATGGGGAGACTTGCAAAGTTGCAAAATGGATTTTGTACACAACATCCCAGTTGTGATGCCATAATGACGAGTGGGTAAAATTTGGCCAATGAGGTGGATCCTGATCAGGCTGTGACCTGCAGAGCCAAAAAAGGTTCTTCACCCCTAATGTATGGGATAGATGAAGCCAAAGTAATATATTGTATGTTCACAGCTGCCTGGTTTCCTTTTGTGCCCCTTTTACATTGCTACCTGTTTTCTTTTCCCACCATGCAATCACTTCATTTCCACATAACTTCCTATGCTATTTCTTCACTTCCCCGTTGAGCTACTTCTGCTTCTGCATATCTACTTCCAAATAATGTGCAGTGGTACCTCAAGTTACAAACACCTCAGGTTACAAACGCTTCAGGTTACAAACTCCGCTAACCTGGAAGTTACCTCGAGTTGAGAACTTTGCCCCAGGATGAGAACGGAAATCGTGTGCTGGCAGCGCAGCAGCAGCAGCAAGAGGCCCTATTAGCGAAAGCATGCCTCTAGTTAAGAACAGTTTCAGGTTAAGAACAGACCTCCGGAATTAATTAAGTTCTTAACTAGAGGTACCACTGTATGTATATAAGTGTCTTAAAATAATTTGTGTGCGAAAGAAAGCTAGCGGTGGTTAACTTTGCATCCAATGTTTACTTTGAAAAGTTACGTGTCTTTAATATTATCTTTCTCTCTGCCTAATTGCACTTAGATGCTTGCTTTGTCTTGGGAGCCAGTTCGTAGGCCAGAGATTAGCAAGTGGACAGTCCATAACCAAATCCATCTCCTTGGATAATTCTGGCTGGCTCTTCAGTTGCCAGAGACAGAGGGTGTCCAAAAGTGGAGTTAATGATGTCTGTGACAATACGGGGCAGCATCCAGTGAACTTGTTCCACCGGTGCACCATAACCAACCAGTGCTCAGTCTGCAGGCAGGGCTGTTTGTGAATATGTCCTTAGTGCTAATCTCATATTACTATTATCACTTTTCATCCATGTACCTGACCATCACTTGTGTGTCTCCTAACCGAATACATATTTTTTTGCTATTTGGGTTCCTTTATTTCACTTGGAAACACCAGGCAACTCCATGCTGTCATTAGGCAGCTTCAGGCAATTGATTTTGGGTGTCATGAAATGTTAGCAGATTATTGATTATTCTGATTTTTTATTATATATTTTTACTGCCAGGGAGGGAAAGAAATGCTTGTGAGATTTTCTGCCTCAGGCATCAAAATTATTTGACCTTAGGTATTAGTCACCATGACTTGGAGCAGTGGGTGGTGGAGATGGGACCACAACTCTATTTAACTGCAAGCAAATTTGAGAGTGATGCCGTCTTTTTCTCTTTCCAGGTAAAAGAGCAGCAGAGCTCTGATGATGCCATTAGTGTGTCAACCTCAGCAATTCAACAGGAGTCTGCAACTCTTTAAGGCATCCACATCAAACAGTGGGTGCTGAGACCTCCCATGGAGCTGGAGCAACTGAAGCTGGGTGGACCACTGGAGTCTTCAGAACCTCCAACTCAAAAGCCAAGTGATGGGTGCTTATCCTTCTGGACCAGAAGAGATCCCCTACTATTTGCTGCCATCTGTCCGGCATGAATGAGCTGATAACTGAGAAGCACAGATGGTGAAGTTACATGAACTATTGGATGAGACTTGGTTTAGAAATATTCCTCCTATAAGTGCTACAACACGTTTTATGGCCTCTTTAAGAAAGCCTTCCCTTAACTTTCTGAGGTGGCATCCGCACTATCATTCTGGACCTTTCTAATTTCTGCTGAATGTTATTGGAGGAAACACTTGTATTTAATTACTTGGAGGGCTAGAACAGCCTTCATAAGATTATGGGACTTGCATGACTGGGGAGATTTATCTCTTTGAAGTTTTTAGCATTAAATGTGTTTTTAGCCATAGAAAGTTCAGGAAAAGGAATTACGGGTAGATGGGTGCTCTCTACTTTTCCTTACCTCAGATACATGGGAGCAGAAAGTGTTGGCACAGGAGCGGTCACACACTCTCTGAGCATAACTGAAATGCACAGTACCGGAGAAGGACAAATATTAATGTGATGGCTGTGCTGTATGCATTTCCCCGCAATTGTTGTGGTTGCTTCCCAGTCTCAGCAAGTGGAATAGACTGAAGCAGACATGCCAAGGAGAAGAAACAGCTTTGTATTACATTTTCTTTGCCTCTTTCACTCTCTGAAATAACAGAAGACGCTAAATGTGTATTTAATAAAATTTTGGACTTGATGTTTTCGATTTTCTCAGCAGTTGCCTGGACTTCCTTATTAAGGAATTGAGACGTGAAGCAGAATGTGCCTACCTCCCTGTTACAGATAGGTAGCCGTGTTGGTCTGCCATAGTCAAAACAAAAAAAATTTCCTTCCAGTAGCACCTTAAAGACCAACTAAGTTAGTTCTTGGTATGAGCTTTCGTGTGCATAAGTAAAGACTTAGTTGGTCTTTAAGGTGCTACTGGAAGGAATTTTTTTTTTGTTTTGACTACCTCCCTGGTCATACTTCACTACAATAAGCTGTAGAAATGTGTGATCCAGTTAAGCAGCCAACAGAGATCCCTACTGATGTTACCATACAGGGTTTTAATCCTGTTAGGTCCCCCTGAATGAGTGACAAGTCAAACAGCATTTCATTCTGTGAGCCTGATCTATTGTTTGAACTGCCTGTAGTTGTATAGGGGATACTGAGTTCCCCTTCTAAATTGGCGTTCTGTTGTTGTAGCATTAGGGAGAAAGTCATCTGTATCACAACAGCCTTAGCCATGACATGTGAACATTGCTCTGAATGGGCAATATGGTGCTTCTTTGTTTTTTATATGTGCATCTTGCATATAGCTCATGCAATTGTATTCTTTTACTCATTTTATGAACCTGTGTTGGTATGAATATAAGAGACACACCCAGCTCAAATAGTACTGCACTGTTCTGTTGCAGTTACAGCATGTGCAGTGCTGTCTTTTCAAGCCTCCCTAGACCATAATTGTTTGTTCTTAGAGCACTGCCAGGTGTTCAGGCCTCTTTTTTATCTTTGTATGTTCTTCTGGCATTTAAGTTCTCAGGCTAAAGCTCAGACCAGGTTCATAAACCTGGAACACAAGTTGACCAAAGAGCAAGCAATATTCTGTACTCCAATACTGACACATCCTTTAGATAAAAAACTTTTTAGACTAGTAAGCCCATCAACTTTGGGGGGCCCAACTCCCTCAAATATTTTATTGTGGTGTGTGTGAAGGGACCTCAGCCCCTAGGAGTTGGCACTTAAGCTACATACTATATACCATGAAAGCACATTATTTCCCTCAAAGAATTCTGGGCACTAGTTTAAGTTAGGCTGCTGGGAATTGTGATTCCTCAAGGGTGAACTAGGGTGCCTAGAATTCTTTGAGGGAAATAGTGCTTTGAATGTGCTTTAAGGGTATATATAGTGTGTAACATAGCCTGAGTTTAACTTTCCCTTCAGGAAATTAAGAGCTGGAGCATCCTTATCTGATGGCCTCTGCTTGGGAGACCTTATCCTGCATATTGTAAACTGCCTTGAGTATGCTGAGGGGCAGGCAAGATTAAAACAATTTTTTACATCAAAATTTTGCCAAGTAGAAAGAGGTCCCCCTCAACAGGTGGCATTAACCGTGAGAAGAATACATTTATGTAGCCCCATGAAATGAGTAACCAGGCAGGCGACATGCCAAATCTGAACGTTGTTGGACTCGAATACAAATTGGACTCCCGCTAGTGTTTAAAGACGGGCGAACTTACTGTCTTAAAAAAAAGATTTGTATTCATTGTTCTTTGCTCAATTACACTGAACAACGAAAAGGGGGAAGGAAAAAGAGCGAGAAGGTGGCGCGCAAGCTCCCCGAGCGTCGAGGCGACAGGAGGCGCTGCGGCTGCAGGGCGCCCTCGCTACCGGCTGCGCGGCGCAAAAGCGGCGCGTTTGCTGAGCGGCCCGAGGGAGGATCCTCCTCGCCGAGCCAGCAGACTCTGTCCGCGGGGCGCTCGAGCCATGGAGTTGCGAGCCGAGCTTCTGAAGTCCATCTGGTACGCCTTCACCGCCTTGGACGCGGAGAAAAGCGGCAAAGTGTCCAAATCTCAGCTGAAAGTAAGTGGCAGCGGGGCGAGGGAGAGAGAAAAGGCGGCGGCTGCCTTCTCCCTCAGAGCCCGCGGCGGGCTTGGGGCGCGCACTCCGCCTGCCCCCAGCAGGGCTGCCGGGCGCTTTGGGAGCCGGAGGGCAACTTTGGGAGCGAAAAGAAACCCCCCTCAGAGCTGTGGTGGCGAGTTAGGGTTGTGGGATTGCTCGTGAAGGCGGGGGATATCTAAGGAGTCGTGTTCTTCTCTTTTTTAAATAAAGGGAAGGGATAAACATTATGCACTTAAATGTTCTGGTCTTTTAAATATGCCTCCCCCCTTTCTCTGCATTGGGGTGTGTAAGCATGTGCGTGTTAGAAATAGACATTTGCCTTCTTCCTGTCGAATTTCCTCTGCCCTTTTCCGAGGCAGCTGGTTGCAAATGCTGCGTTCCTACCCACGCTCTCTACCGATCTCATAGCTGGCTGCTTTTAAAATGGGCCAAAGGTTGTGCAGAATGTGGGTCCTGCCCCCCCCTTTTTTACAAAAAAGCGTTTCTTTCTCTCTCTTCTCCTTCGCAGTAATCTTGTTGGGTGGGCATGAAAGATCTTCTGCTGAATAGACAAGACTCGCTTTCTTTAAAGGGGCAAAATGAAGACGAGCAAAACTCTCCTTCCTTGTAAAATCCTTGTAAACTTTGAAATAGCAACAAAGGCGGTGCTTTGAATTACAATGTGGACGCTGGGATTTGCTTAATCACAGTTTTCGGAGCGGGGGAGATGGCAGATGAGATGCAAATGCATGCAAGCCCAGCCAAAGTAGGGCAGAAAAGATCTGAGGAAGGCTTGATGCAAATAGTGGCGACACCTTGTGAAATCAACACAAGCCGATGAGCGTAAGTGATAAAGGCTAAGGCTGGCTTCCTGTACTGCTCTTACATAAAGTGGCGGCTGAACCAGTGGGGAAACTGTTTTGCCCCCTCTGGACCACCATCCTTAGCCCCTGAGCCGTGCCAAATGAATGTAAATGCTGGGCAGCTGCCCGGCATCCCAACTGTTTGCAGAGAACTCCCACGTTGCTGTTGCTGCTGCTCTGGTTTTTTTATTGCATCCTAGAATTTACCCAGCAATGCCAGTGTCTCAAATGTGCTTTTGCTCCCGCAAATGGGCTGTGTAATAACAACTTTCCTGTGAAGGTTTGTTATATAGCCTTACACTTAAGCCCCTTCCCGGATTTTTGCACCTTTCCCCAAAGTTCATCATGATTGGTCACAGTTTACCCAGGACAGGACACTTGGAACCAGCCTGGGAAAAGATTCTTCTTCTTTTTTTAACGCGTTTCTAGCAGCCTCAGATTTAACTGTGCAGCTGTACATGACTTTTGAGAAAGTATTTGCTTGTTTGCTTTTTAAAAAAGCAAAAGCGTCTAGTGTGAAAAGGAGCACTGATGAGGGCCTCTCTGTGTTTATTTGCACACGCTGGCCTTGCAAGGCGGCAAGGGTGAAGAGCAAAACAAACAGCAGCATTGAGCCATTGCAAGAATTACATCACTGCCATTTCTTCATGGAATCTTGCTGAGAGCAAAAAGGGGTTGTGTGCTTGTGTTAGCAACTTCCACTCCTTGGTTTAAACGCTGCAAAAGCACAGTATATTTATAAGCAAAAGCATTTTTTGTGGTTACTTTTTTACACATCAGTATTACATTGCTACAGTTTATGACAGGCAGGGCCAAACTTGGCCCTCCAGATGTTTTGGGGCTACAATTCCCACCATCCCTGACCACTGGTCCTGTTAGCTAGAGATGATGGGAGTTGTGGTCCCAAAACATCTGGAGGGCCACGTTTGGCCATGACTGGTTTATGAGCACAGGTCAAGCAGTCCTTTGGGGTGTGTGCTTAAGCAGTGGGATCTGTGCCTTTTGACATACATCCATAATACAGCAAAATATTTAATTATTTGTAATGATCAGTGGACTGGAAAATTTTATTCACTTATACTTTTCCATTGAAAACATTTAATTTTTAGAAATGCAGTGTTTTATAAATGTAATTACTACCATAATGGATACAATATCAGTCAAATTGGATAGCTGGAATGGATATAATGCCAGTCAAATCAAGAATTGAAGTTGTAATTAACTACTTTCAAGTGACTATCCATAGAAAGCAGATACTTTTATGCACATGGTTTTTCAGGCATACTAAAATTAATGTTTATGTCTTCTGCTACCTCTGTTTATAAATTTAATAAATAAATAATAATTAACATAATAATGTATCCTCTCCCTCTTTTGCCTCCTCTATTATTATTATTATTATTATTATTATTATTATTATTATTATTATTACTTTCCCTTCTCCAGCAGGTCCCTAAGTGGATTACCACAATCTAATATTCAGAATTTAAAACAGTTAAAACAAATCACAATCACAGAAATAGAGTGGATCCTTTTAAACCACACTAACAGCACCATTCTGTTCTTGTTTACCTAGAATTAAGTGCTACTCTATTCAATGGATCTTGTTCCCCAGTAAGTGTGTTTAGATCACCACCTCCCTTATAGTTCAGTTACATTTGGCTATATGCAGCACATAACAGTAACATGACGTACATTTTAAAATTTCATTTATTAAATCTAAGTCAAATGTTAAATCAGATCTCAGTTAATTTAGGGTGGTGTTGAAAATATTTCCAGGAAATGTTTGGACTTTTTCTGGAAAATCACTATTGATGGAAACCAATGAGTATGTAGAGCCAGTTTCGTGGCCAAGAAATACAGGTGCGCCTGAGGGATTATTACATGTGATTTGAAACACACATGTGGTCTGAAGTCCCTGCTTGAAGGATATTGTAGAGTAGGAAAGAACCTTGAGTTTATCTAGTAACTAGGTCAGCCCCCTAACACAGGAAATCCACTGCAACAGCATCCCTAGTTGTTGGCTACTTAGCCTTTGCTTAAAAACCCTTAGAGCTTACGTGCTATTATACATCAAGGGGTTTTAAACAAGGGTCCGTGGATCCCTAGGAAGTCCATGGATGAGCTTCAGGGGGTCTGTGAACTGGGTACATAAAAATAGTCAGTTTTTAATTTCCTCCCTGCTACATTGAAAAAAGTCTTTGTGGAAAAAATATGGGGAGGGGTTCCAGAGCTTTCATCAGATTTTCAAAGGGATCCAATGTCTCCAAA